TGAACAGTTTCTGCTGTTTTACTGTTTCTGTTTGAGTCGTTAGATCAGGATTCAGTACATTAGCTACATTAGCTACATTAGCGGAGTGACCTGCACTCACAGTCTTATCATTCCCATCACGCGTCCACTCCGACCGTCCGGCCTTCAGCTCCACCATCGCCCCTCACTCACTCACACACTCGCCGATCGATAGCAGGACGTTACTCACTGTTTCAGCAGGAAGAGCAGCCCCCCCAACCCCCGATAAACATCACTTACATCCTCCGAAAATAAATAAATAAACAAATAAATACAGCGCAGACCGAGAGAGATTAGATTACAGTGAGAGAGAGAGAGAGAGAGAGTGAATAAGAGGGAGATATATAGAGGTCAGTTCTGTCTGTGCTGATGGAAGACCCACTCCCTTCACCCCGTGCCCCCCAGTTAGGGGTGGGGGGTAACTTTCTGGTGGGCCAAGTCAAACGTCCTGACAGACCCACTCTGGGCAGCACTGGGTTAGAATATTTTATTTCCACTGACTCAAACAGAACTTGCGGTTCTAGTTCTAGTTCCTCACCCACCTGCTCGAGAGAGACCACTGGAACCGCTAACCCTAACTGTGATTAATCAATCGACAGTATTTGGTCATTTTATGTCACTCTAAAGTGTCTAATTTGGCTAATTAAGTTAGCTAAGTGGCTAACTAAGTTAGCTTAGCTTAGCGATACACAGCACTGTTCTGCGCTCACACAAACGAACACACAACTGTGTTTAGGATCAAAGGTGATATGTTTCTGTGTCGAGTGTGAAATATTGGCCGCTCTGTGATCGTGAGCACAGAACTATTAGCGTTAGCTTCTTTTAGCTGTGTCGCCTTGTGTCGAACTCAAAGTAGTCAAACTGAAAAGATGAACCGGCTCATCAGCGCAGCGGCCAGTCTACACTCTGGAGCTCTTACTGGTGATGTAACGGTTCTGGGTTCTTCATCTTCATCTGGGGCCGTTTTACAGAAAATTCTTAAGTCTGAGATCATATCTTATCTGCTTTGTTGTCATGGCAACTTCAATTAAGACTGAATTTAGGACAGAAGCCATTACAGAACAACAGTTCTTAAGTCTATAATTTCTTATTCCCAGATAAGAAAACGGTTTTACAGAAACATCCTAAGTTGCCAAAATATCCTAAATATTTTCTTAACTTTAAGATAAACTCCAGAGCGTCTTAACTTCAGTTTAACCGTCTGTTTCTATTGTTTTATGCAGTGATGGGAAGCATAGTTCACTATAACCAGCATAATGACGCCACATTTATCTACACTGAAAACGATGTTTTAAAGCCCCAGACGCTGCAGACTCGATCTCCACCGCCCCTCTGATCACCTTCGTGTGTTAATGTTGATGATGAAATATTACAGTGATGGTGGTGAATAATGAGGAGACGGAGCTGAACGTGTGTCTGTTTATTAGGAGGAGTAACGTTAGCGCGCTCGGCTAAAGCGGTTGGGAAATGGAGACTGAAACTGGGGAGCGGCGGCGCTCTGATAAACAGCAGGGGGCGCTGACACAATATTCTTAACTTTCAGTTTATCGTGCTTTAGTTTTATTTGACTTTCTTCAACTTCAAATGAGTCGACTTCAAATGAGTGAGTTAAGATTTCCTAACTTGAGATAAGAAAAGATGCTGTAAGATAAGATAGAGTTTGTGAAAAATCTTATCTTGACCTGTCAGATCTTAAGTTAAGACAAAAAGTTATAACGTTTCTGTAATGCGGCCCCTGGAATAGAATTCGCTAAACTGTCGTTGGCTTTAGCTGCGAGTGAGAGAGGATCTTCAGAGAGTTAAGACTGATGCTGATAGCAGCTCTACCTGCTTTAGGAAGCTCGAAAACCGGAAAAACATATTGTTGATGTTCCACCGGTCAGCGCGGTGATGACAGCGGTGCTGGTAGAGCCACCGTTAGTACAGTGTTAGTTCATAAATCATCCTGACAGACAAAACACAGCCGCGCTGAGCTGCTGCTTCATGATGCAACAACAGAACCTAAACTCTGAGTTTTTACAGCATCCCGGCTGTCCGACGCTGTGAGGGGATCCAGCTATAGACTAGCCTTCAGCAGTGTATATGATAGTGTTTTTATGTTTAAAGGAATATTTTATCCATAAACACTGTGACTGTAATGAATAAGGGCTACAGTTAGAGGCCTGTTAGCTGTTTCCCATTACCGCCCATTCATTTTCAGCCATGTTAGCATTAGCGGGTGCTCTGCTCCTTTAAGAAGCCCAGCAGTCTGAGAGAACGCAGCTCTGAGTGTGTGAGGATGATTGAAGTGATGTTCTGAAGGAGAGCGGTTCTCCTGATAAGAGCCCGGGGAGAAGCTGCCCTAACCTGATTTGCTGAGTTACTTAGAGGCGGAGCTAATGCCTGCCTCATGCATAATTAATAGTGTTGGTCCAGAGCAGTAAAGTAAATGTGCGCTCATTAGATTAGAGCTCAGGAGGCCGTGAGTGCAGCTGAGTGTTCTGTGAGAGGAACGCTGTGCTGACGGGGAATGCAGACGGGTTCTTTATTTAGGCGTCCCTGATAACGCAGGATTCCTGCAGGATAATACAGACTCCGCAGCGTTCCGCACTCAGCAGATCCGTCCCGCTGAAAACAGAGCGCTGCTGTGAAAAAGCCCAGGATCCTCAGAGCTCCGCACCTCAGCGGCTTCCAGACAGCAGGATCACACTCCTGTACGGGAGCTGGAGCTCTGTGTTCATGATGAAGTGAAAATAAGAGAACGCTTCCTCTACAGAGACTGAAATACGGCATTTTTCTGTTTATTTTACTGCAGTTTTCTGTGATACGTGCCTTTTAAAATGAGCAAATAAACAGAAAAATGAACTTCCCCCACTTTTTAAAGTTAAATTGCACAGTTTCACTCATCACCACATTCAGTCTGTATACGGACACTGTAGAAACAGCCAGTTTAGAATTCATTGTTTTTGTGATGTCACAAGAACCAAGTCGTTTACATATATCCATCTACTCCGCCCACTCACACCGAAGTGTTTCAGTCAGGACGGCTTTCTGAGTGCAGACAAGGACACTGTTTAAGTGATGAAGACAGGCTGGAAATTATTATGTAGAAATGAATTATGACTGTTTTTGGTTCGTGTAACAACACAAACGTTATATGAGAAGCTCAGAGGGGAAAAAGGAAAATGTAGGATATGGGATCTTTAACATATGGGAGAAAAATAAAGCAGAAAACGTGGCCTATTTATTAAACAAAAACATAAACACTACATTTTTAATGTTCATTGCAGTTGTGGACAAGTGGACCTTGAAACACCCTCTGGTGGTCCTCAGGCTGAGGGGGTGCCAGTGGTCCATACTGGGCCTGCAGTAGCTCTTTGTCATAAAAATAAAAAAGAATTGACTTAACAAAGAGCTATAAACTGTTTTCAAATGGTAAACAATATTAATATGAGACCAGCAAAAAATGGAGCATTAAAGCTTTGCCAGGTTTTTGCGTCTCGACTCTAAAAACAGAATAACCCCCGGTTCAGCTGTCGCCTCACAACACAACACTTATGTTGAAGAAACCTTCCACTTAACTTGCTGCCGTTCTGCTATTTTACGTTCACTGACGCAGGTGGCGTTTTGCAGAAGTCGACACACTGTGTTAATAATTTCCCAAAAATGAAGTTTTTAAGCAAAAAGCTGCGTTTTCTTTCCTGTGGGCCTTCATGCTTACTAAAGACAGACAAGTGGACCTTGAGGTGGAAAAGATTGAGATTTAAAGATCCAGGATTGTGCTGTGATGCTACAAACGGCGCTCACACCTCACCCTACAGAGGGAATTCTGATTTTATGAGCAGTCTTGTTTTTGCAGAGCCTGTTTATTCAGCACGTTTAGAGAGCGCTGTTCATGTTTCCCATAGAGGTAACCTGCTTAGACCCTGAGCTCCGTATATGGGCGGAAAGCCGACTACACAATGAAGCGCGACTCCAGAGATCTGTAATATCTGGTCAGCGGTGGTCCTAAGGGGGTGTTTCCAGTTTGAGTGCGTTAGAGGGGCTGATAAACTGCGCAGTAACAGATAAACTCCAGTGTGTAACAGTGCACCTACACAGAGGAGATAAAAGGCAGGTGTTTCTGATAATGTGGCCCATGAGTGTTTCCATTATTTTGTCCACTCCCTGCATACTGATCCAATCAGGAAACTCTCCCAGTCCAGATGAGCTCTTTATAAACGCCACATTTACTGACTTTCCTCTGTTTAACACTCTGATCGGGTTATGATGTGTGTGATTTTTTTGATGTTCTCTCTCTCTCTCTATAAATATATATACACATATATATATATATATATATATATATATATATATATATATATATATATATATATATATAGACACACACATAAACAGTCATGTGAAAAAAATTAGGACACCCCATTAAATATTCAGTTCTTTATTAAGAAATGTTCACATATCGATGTCTAATCTTTTTTTTTATTTATCTCTGGAAAAGGAAGTGATTTATTTGCAGGTAAACAACAAAAATTAACCTTGTTTTACTCATTAAACAAAAAATTTTAACAAAAATGCATATTCCATCTGAGGAAAAAGTTAGGACACCCTACCCCCTAACAGCTAGCGTTACCCCCTTTGGCTGAAATAACCTCAGTGAGACGCCTCTTGTAGCCGTCTACCAGTCTCTGACATCGGTCGGAGGGAAGTTCGCCCCACTCCTCAACGCAGAATTCTTTCAGCGAGATGACTGAGGGGTTTCTTGCATGTACAGCCCGTTTCAAGTCACCCCAAAGCATCTCAATGGGATTAAGATCTGGGTTTTCAGCCAGTCCTTGGTGGATTTACTGGTATGTTTAGGATCATTGTCATGTTGCAGGGTCCAGTTCTGCTTCAGCTTTAATTTTTTTTACAGATGGTCTCACATGTTCCTCAAGCAGCCTGTGATACACGGCAGAATTCATGGTGGATTCTATGATGGTGAGCTGGCCAGGTCCTGCTGCAGCAAAGCATTCCCAAACCATGACACTTCCACCTCCATGTTTCACAGTTGGTATGAGGTTCTTTTCCTGGAATGCTGTATTTGGTTTACGCCAAACATGCCTTCTGTTAAGGTGTCCAAATAATTCAGTGTTAGACTCATCTGTCCACAGAACATTATTCCAGAAGTTCTGGTCTTTGTCTCTGGCAAACTTCAGTCTGGCCTTCATGTTTCTCTTAGAGAGCAAAGGTTTCCTGCCTGCACAACTCCCATGAAAGTTAAACTTGGGCAGTGTCTTTCTGATTGTACAGGCATGCACTTTCACATCAACAGCAGCCAGAGCCTGCTGTAGGTCCCGTGATGACCTTTTTGGGTTTTTGAGACTTCTTTTAGCATCTTGCAGTCTGCTCTCGGGGTAAACTTGCTTGGACGGCCAGACCTGGGCATGTTGGCAGTTGTTTTGAATGTCCTCCACTTGTAGACTATTTTCCGGACAGTGGAATGGCTGATTTCAGATTCTTTTGAGATCTTTTTAAATTCCTTACTAGACTCCTAAGCTGCTACAGTCTTCTTTCTGATGGCCTCAGACGGCTCTTTCGATCTCACCATGGTGTTCACTCTCACTTCAACAGTCAGGAGCTCACCGAACGAAATGTCTGAGGTTTAAATAAGGCAAGCCTCCTTCAAAATGCTGAGTAATGATGTTCTAATCATGCGCACCTGATGTGATACAACTGTGTGATTTTAGCCATTGTAAGTGGGAATAAATGTGGGGGTGTCCTAATTTATTCCTCACCAGAAATTGCATTTTTTTTAAATTATACTTTACAGAAAGTTTGAAAAAGTCTTTTCTTCAGTTTTAATTGTTTAGTTATATTACTTGAATCTATCAGTATTGCAGAGAAACAGATGGACTACAGTCTGTAACTGTAGAACTACAAAGTGCACCTATATAGTAAGTGGAGCTGATAAAATGGGCGTAGAAACAAGTCATAATGTTATGCCTGATCGGTGCATGTATGTATTTATGTATGTATGTATGTATGTGTGCATATATATAATAAAAATATTTACTATTTGCCCATATTAGGAAAACTCAGAACTCAGAGCCGTCCATTCTTCTTCTGAACAGCACTGCCGCCCCCTGGTGGCACCGCCTTAAAACAGCACTCAGAGCCACTGACCGTCCACCTCACCGCCAAACTGTTTTTATTCAAAAACACAGCTCAACTTCAATGAGATGCAAATATTCATATCTGTGAATAAGTACTATTTATTTACACTCAGTGGAAATGGAGAACTATTTTACTGAAGCAGTTACACCGTTTAATGTGGCGTCGTCTTCTGCCTTCATCCAAAAACAAACCCAAACAGACTCTCAGTGTAACAGGAAGACAAACCCATGAGCTGGTTTAGTCGGTCACGATTAACACGGCGCTGATCTGTGTCACGAGAAAACCTCAGAGTAAAGCAGCATCACTGACTCACCGAACGAGAGACGCTCACAACAGAAGTGTGTCTGTATGTTTGTCCCTTTACTGTGACCTGCAGTGACGCTGTAGAGCCGACGTTAGACTGAGTTTCATAAAGCAGGATTCACTCAGTTAGCTGGATTAATTAAGCCCAAGGTGAGTTCTGTCCAGCACAGATGCCCTCCTGCTCTCTGCTAGACAGGCACGATTAAACGATCTGAGGAATCCTGCGCTGTGAAACACCCTCTCAGTGTCTGTGTTTGTTTGTCTGTCTGGCCTGTAGGGTCAGTTGGCAGGGCGACCCGGGCCCTCCGGCACTAACGAGGTGAAGAAAGTGCTGATGAATGACCAGGTGGCCGTTAGAAAGCCTGGCCTGGCCGGAGATGCGTCCTCAGGGCCTTCCTCCCCACTCTCACCATCATCATCCTCAATCCCATCATCCATAATCCGCTCCTGAACAAAGAAAGACAGAGAGAGAGAGAGAGAGAGAGAGAGAGAGAGAGAGAGAGAGAGAGAGAGAGAGAGGCTGTTACAGTCAGGGATGCACTGATACTGGCTGATAACGATTCTGATACTTTTCTTGAACATTTCTGTTGATCCTTGGATTTATGAGGTTCTGTCTGACACTTTTGTCAAAATTGAGTTTTTCGCAGGTTCTTGTTCTGTGGCACTTCTTAACATTATGTGAGGTGTCTTTTTTTAGTTGTGTGCATTTTTTGACCTGTTCATCTAGAAAACAAAAAGCTTCTGTCTCCAGTCAAACTCTAACTTCGTTCTATAAGGTTCTATCTGTGAACCAGTCAGCACTTCACATACACACAAGAGGACCAATCAGGTTCTGCTTCTTTGTCATGTCGTCGCTCTGCTCTGTGCTGAAACTCTGCCTGTCGTATTACAGCTCTGTAAAAAGTCTTATTGTCTTAAATTATATGAAATATTGAGCCTTAAAGGTCATTAAATATGACCCTTAAATATGAACATTTGAACTGATGGGGTCTTAATTACAGCATTAACATTAACTTCATTCATCCATCGTTTCTTTTCCTTCTTTCTCCCAAAATAAGACATTTTGGCTCATTAGACTCACATTTCTGATATAAAACTAAACCTCACACGGCCTTTACACTGACCTGCTGCACTGACCTGCTACACTGACCTGCTGGGACAGTTTATTACAGCAGCTGTGTCTGTCCGACTAAAGGAAACTTAAACTAATGATTCCTAAAACTGACCTCTGCACTGGACACAATATTCAGCACTGACCTTTATACATAATCTGCAATGGTTTTTAGAATAAAAAAGATAATTTAATCTAAAAAAAGAAATGTCATTAAAAATAAATACATAATAAAAAAGGTCATAAAAATGTTATAGGCGGCATTAAATGTAACTTCCTGATAATGTAAACACTCGTTTTAAATTTAAACACTAATTTTATGTTTTAAAACAAACTGTGAGTATAAACTGTTTGTGTTCCTTGAAAATCATTGCTCCTTTTCATGTACTGTCTGATAGAACCTTATAACTCCGAACAGAAAGTGGGTTCTCAGGATTAGAATGTTCTATCTGCATTTGACCTGTTCCAAAAAAATAAGCTCTGTCTCTTTACCATTTCCTGAATGTCGTTGTTTCTCGCCGCTTCATCCTGAGGACCTTCTGCTGCTGGGTTCTGCAGCTCTGCTCTGAAGGGGAACCAGCCAGCCTGGTGTCTAAAACACACACACTTTTTAAATGAAACAGTAGAAGCCATATCGCCCCCTACACTTCCTGTAGTGTATTACAGTCTGTCAGAGTGACTGTGTGGATCATATGAACATTATAGAGGCTTTTTAAATGAAACAGTAGAAGCCAAATCGCCCCCTACACTTCCTGTAGTGTATTACAGTCTGTCAGAGTGATTGTGTGGATCATATGAACATTATAGAGGCTTTTTAAACGAAACAGTAGAAGCCATATCGCCCCCTACGCTTCCTGTAGTGTATTACAGTCTGTCAGAGTGACTGTGTGGATCATATGAACATCATAGAGGCTTTTTAAACGAAACAGTAGAAGCCATATCGCCCCCTACACTTCCTGTAGTGTATTACAGTCTGTCAGAGTGACTGTGTGGATCATATGAACATCATAGAGGCTTTTTAAACGAAACAGTAGAAGCCATATCGCCCCCTACACTTCCTGTAGTGTATTACAGTCTGTCAGAGTGACTGTGTGGATCATATGAACATCATAGAGGCTTTTTAAACGAAACAGTAGAAGCCATATCGCCCCCTACGCTTCCTGTAGTGTATTACAGTCTGTCAGAGTGACTGTGTGGATCATATGAACATCATAGAGGCTTTTTAAACGAAACAGTAGAAGCCATATCGCCCCCTACACTTCCTGTAGTGTATTACAGTCTGTCAGAGTGACTGTGTGGATCATATGAACATCATAGAGGCTTTTTAAACGAAACAGTAGAAGCCATATCGCCCCCTACACTTCCTGTAGTGTATTACAGTCTGTCAGAGTGACTGTGTGGATCATATGAACATCATAGAGGCTTTTTAAACGAAACAGTAGAAGCCATATCGCCCCCTACACTTCCTGTAGTGTATTACAGTCTGTCAGAGTGACTGTGTGGATCATATGAACATCATAGAGGCTTTTTAAACGAAACAGTAGAAGCCATATCGCCCCCTACGCTTCCTGTAGTGTATTACAGTCTGTCAGAGTGACTGTGTGGATCATATGAACATCATAGAGGCTTTTTAAACGAAACAGTAGAAGCCATATCGCCCCCTACACTTCCTGTAGTGTATTACAGTCTGTCAGAGTGACTGTGTGGATCATATGAACATCATAGAGGCTTTTTAAACGAAACAGTAGAAGCCATATCGCCCCCTACGCTTCCTGTAGTGTATTACAGTCTGTCAGAGTGACTGTGTGGATCATATGAACATCATAGAGGCTTTTTAAACGAAACAGTAGAAGCCATATCGCCCCCTACGCTTCCTGTAGTGTATTACAGTCTGTCAGAGTGACTGTGTGGATCATATGAACATCATAGAGGCTTTTTAAACGAAACAGTAGAAGCCATATCGCCCCCTACGCTTCCTGTAGTGTATTACAGTCTGTCAGAGTGACTGTGTGGATCATATGAACATCATAGAGGCTTTTTAATTGAAACAGTAGAAGCCATATCGCCCCCTACACTTCCTGTAGTGTATTACAGTCTGTCAGAGTGACTGTGTGGATCATATGAACATCATAGAGGCTTTTTAAACGAAACAGTAGAAGCCATATCGCCCGTGCTGACGATAAACAATGACTGGACTCACAGGTAAACGAGCAGCATGGCGCCGATCACCATGACGAAGCGTCCGAAGGAGGAGTAAAAGTAGACGATGCTGAGCAGAATAGCAGCGCGCGAGACTGTGTAGAGCCAGTCCAGCCAATCACGGTTCAGCTCGTCCTCATTCAGCATGGCTCCGCCCTGTGCGTTCATCTGCAGGTTCTGATTGGCCGGACGCTCCTCTGGGACGGGGTTGGGGGCAGGGTTCGGCCCCATAGGGGCTGCGGGTTCGTTGGGCGGAGCCGGAACGGCAGCAGGGCGGGGACTTAGGGAAGGGGGCGGTGCCACAGCGGATGCCTGGGAGGCTGCCATCGCAGCTTGGCTGTAAAGACAAAACAGGAAAAGTACATGAGGAGAATAAATGAAACACTGACAGATAAACACTGTATATAAAGGATTACACACTTCTGCCCATCGACTGTCTGATACTCCGCATCACATTTAGCACAGAAATGAAGCTCAAAGTGCTTTACAATTAAAAACAGGCATAAAAATGTACTGGAATACTGTATAAGAATGAGGAATGTTCAAGACATGTTTCACCTGTCTTTATAATTGTTATTATTATAAATACAGTAGTATTTTCTTTATTCTTTATTGTATTATTACTTATTGGTAGGTTACTTTACATACATATTGCACAAAGTCTACATCATTTGCCTTTTATTAATAGTTTTATTAGTGGCTTTTAATGAAATTAATTTTAATACTACATGCTAATGAAAAAACTCACTGATAAATGGTTATTTTCATATGAAACATGTAATTCCAATCTCAGAGATTCTGCAAAATCTGGAAACCCTGAAAAGGTTGTTGCCAAAATAAACTGTCTTAACTGTCCATAACTGTCTTAAAAATGAAAACAAGCCGGGGAAGTGAGCGTTTCAGATTCCATATTCGGTTCTGTGTGAGCTAAAGCAGGTTTAAAATGAATAAACCTGATTTGTGTTGAAACTAATCTAAAATTTATCATAATGCTACAGTTCTGTGCTCTGAGCAGCTCACTTAACCCCAGACATTTATCTTACACTATTTTTGATAATGACTGAAATAAAACAGTACATGGAAGCTCATAGTTTCATAGAGGAGGTAAAAGTATTGGTTATTTGAATGGCTTTAAAAGTTCCTAACATATTTCTAATTTTTAAAATTAACAGATGTTGGAGCTCTAAAATAAATGAATAAATTTTAAAAATGTCACAAAACTATATAGAATTATAATGAAAATGATGAACTTTCAGTGTGATTGTATTTTTTAGAACTCATTTATTTATTTATTCATTTGTTTGTTTCAGTGACTTTTTATTTATTAATTATATTCAGTCTGTTTCATAACTTCTTAGTTATTTAACAGAATGACTCTCCATTCAGGCCAGTCTGTTTCCCAGACTCTCTGCCCCGCCCGTCTCTAATGGTGTGAGTCCTCTCTCTGGTCAGTTCAGTCCTATTTTAGGACGTCCTGTACTGAAGGAGCAGATAACAGATGTGCTTCCACTCTCTGTGCAGTAAATCACTTACTATTGCATATAGTAATGTCTGGCGTACATCTGCTGCCACCACAGCATCTGCATAGGAGAGTACATGGGGTTTGCTGGGACTCCAGCAGGGGGCGCTGTCAGCGCAGTGAGGGGCATTCCCTGAGGCCTAAGACACACAAACACACATATAAATGGATGAACACTACATAAAGCACCTGTAACTGCTCTGTAGGACTGTGTAGGACTGTGTAAGACTGTATAAGGCTGTAAAGGACTGTACAGGACTGTGCAAGACTGTATAAGACTGTATAAGGCTGTAAAGGACTGTACAGGACTGTGTAAGACTGTACAGGACTGTGTGGGGCTGTATAAGACTGTATAAGGCTGTAAAGGACTGTACAGGACTGTGTAAGTCTGTATAGGACTGTGTGGGACTGTATAAGACTGTATAAGGCTGTAAAGGACTGTACAGGACTGTGTAAGACTAAGACTGTATAGGACTGTGTGGGGCTGTATAAGACTGTATAAGGCTGTAAAGGACTGTACAGGACTGTGTAAGACTAAGACTGTACAGGACTGTGTGGGACTATATAAGACTGTATAAGGCTGTAAAGGACTGTACAGGACTGTGTAAGACTAAGACTGTACAGGACTGTGTGGGACTATATAAGACTGTATAAGGCTGTAAAGGACTGTACAGGACTGTGTAAGACTAAGACTGTACAGGACTGTGTGGGGCTGTATAAGACTGTATAAGGCTGTAAAGGACTGTACAGGACTGTGTAAGACTAAGACTGTACAGGACTGTGTGGGGCTGTATAAGACTGTATAAGGCTGTAAAGGACTGTACAGGACTGTGTAAGACTAAGACTGTAAGGACTGTGTGGGGCTGTATAAGACTGTATAAGGCTGTAAAGGACTGTACAGGACTGTGTAAGACTAAGACTGTACAGGACTGTGTGGGACTATATAAGACTGTATAAGGCTGTAAAGGACTGTACAGGACTGTGTAAGACTGTACAGGACTATAAGACTGCATAAGACTGTATAAGGCTGTAAAAGGCTGTACAGGACTGTGTGGGACTGTGTAAGACTGTAAGACTGTACAGGACTGTGTGGGACTGTGTAAGACTGTACAGGACTATGTAGGCTGTAAAGGACTGTACAGGACTGTACAGGACTGTGTAAGACTGTAAGACTGTACAGGACTATGTAGGCTGTAAAGGACTGTACAGGACTGTACAGGACTGTGTAAGACTGTAAGACTGTACAGGACTATGTAGGCTGTAAAGGACTGTACAGGACTGTACAGGACTGTGTAAGACTGTACAGGACTGTAAGACTGTAAGACTGTGTAGGCGAAAGGACGTACAGGCTGTGTAAGACTGTAAGACTGTACAGGACTGTACAGGACTGTGTAAGACTGTACAGGACTGTGTAAGACTGTATAAGACTATGTAGGCTGTAAAGGACTGTACAGGACTGTACAGGACTGTGTAAGACTGTAAGACTGTACAGGACTATGTAGGCTGTAAAGGACTGTACAGGACTGTACAGGACTGTGTAAGACTGTAAGACGTGTAAGACTGTATAAGACTGTATAAGACTGTATAAGACTGTATAAGGCTGTAAAGGACTGTACAGGACTGTGTAAGACTGTAAGACTGTACAGGACTGTACAGGACTGTGTAAGACTGTACAGGACTGTGTAAGACTGTATAAGACTATGTAGGCTGTAAAGGACTGTACAGGACTGTGTAAGACTGTAAGACTGTACAGGACTGTGTAAGACTGTAAGACTGTACAGGACTGTACAGGACTGTGTAAGACTGTAAGACTGTACAGGACTGTGTAAGACTGTATAAGACTATGTAGGCTGTAAAGGACTGTACAGGACTGTGTAAGACTGTAAGACTGTACAGGACTGTGTAAGACTGTAAGACTGTACAGGACTGTACAGGACTGTGTAAGACTGTAAGACTGTACAGGACTGTGTAAGACTGTAAGACTGTACAGAACTGTGTAGGGACTGTATAAGACTGTGTAGACTGAGCTGAGCTGCTGTACCACTGCACTGCATCCGTGGGGTCAGGGGTCAAACCGCGGGTCTGTGTTGAACCTCCTCGGTGCCGCAGGCCATCTGAACTTCCTGTGACGGAGGGGCTGGGGGCGTCCTGATAGGACACAGAGACTGAGGGGGAGGGGCCAACGGTGTCTGCATTCTGAGGAGAAACAGATCAACACGGTGACGTCACTCCGAGTAAATCTGAGTAAAAATAAATCAATAATCAATCTGATTCTTGACGCCTGTGTTGTGAATCAGGCTGTACAGTAAACACTGCAGCAGGACAGGAGCCTAGCGCTGCTCCTCCAGCTTCACCTGTACAGGTAAGAGCAGGTAAGGGTGGACTCACCACGGAGCTGGGGTCAGAGGTCAGGGGGGAGCTGCCAGGGTCCCTGTGATCCACAGGTGGAGAGGGGGGGCTGCGAGGCGCACAGACCAAGTGTACCATGTGATACTCGTCCTGCTGTGAGAGCAAAAGGCCAAAATCAGAAACAAAGCAATTTACCCACAAACGAGCCACACAAACAGGTTTTTAACACACGGCGTCGCATCCTGAGGCTCAGGACACACCAAGCTGGCATTTAGGGACCACAGCCAATTCCGCCCGAGTGATGATCTCCTTCCGTCGGCTCACCGCTACCTGATGCAGACAGGTAAGGGGTATAAAGGTGAGAACACTGTGTGGGCAGAGAAACAACCGAAAACACCCGTGGACCAGTCGGCATCAGCCCAGTGTCAGATTAAACCAACAGAGTAGAGGCCTGAGTGAAGATTTCATCCAGCTCCCACAAAACTCAGAACCATTAGTCCCGCTCCCGCCCGCAGTTCCGTCACAGTATGTTTACATCGTCTATTCACGAACACATTATTCTCTCCTGAAATAACAGGTCAGTCGTGGTCGTCAGGCTCACTGTGAGTAACTTCACCAAACGCTGTTTATTCACCATTTAAACACAGAGCAGGAATTAAACCACAGAGCGGTTAGTTTTGCTGGTTTGCTGGTCAGCTGTGGCCGTCGGACTGAAGGCTCCGCCTCTGTTAGCTACGAGAATCCGTGTGTTGGTCACGTGATCGGCTGCTTCACAGCTCTTTAGAGTGACTTCATTCATTTTAACTGTTTTACTGTTATTATTTATATTGTTTATACATGATTTAATAATTGTTCTGCTTTATTCAGGCCGTTCATTAATTTGCAGGATTTCTCTTCATGTGTGCTTCATCCCGCTCCCACTTGCAGGGGGCTGGTTACCCTCCCTCTCAGCACAACACTGAAAATGATTCCTGTGCTGCATTGTGGCGGGTCACGTGGGTCCAGCGGGAATCCGTGGGAGTGAACACCTCAACAATAAAAGCTTTCTGCAGGCGTGCACTCTCAGAATGGCTTTAACTCAACGCAGTAATGGTGAAATGCTGCGCGGGGCGCTGTGACGCGCTGAGAAACTAAACAGTGATTGATGGAGCGCCGGTGCAGGTGTCAGCACCTCCATTAAAACAGTGGTTTCAATTTTTTAGACGCTGCGTGACGCGGTGTGTCCGGTGTGCAGGGGCCTTACAGAAGGCAGTTTTGCATTCATAAGATGTAAATATGTGTGCATGTAGAATATCAGATATCAGTATCAACCCATAATCCCACAGTCTTAATAAAATCACCTTCCTCTCAGATACGAACCTCTCTCAGAACGTCCCGCAGCTGCTGATGGTCCTGCAGGAGACGCCCGGAGTAAACCAGCCTCTGCTCTCTACACAACTACAACACAACACACTCATTATCTTACATTAATAATTATAATACTGACAATAATAATAACAGCGTTTTATTAATATAGTACCTCTCACATCTAAAGTCGCTGTAAAGTGTAAAAAAACAAAGTAACAGTCAATAAAACGAGGTGCAGGTGAGTGTTTGTAAAATAAATAGTTTGGGGGGGCTGCTGACTTTGGCACTGTGTTAAAGTTTAAAGTTTAGATCTGAATGACGAAGATGAGAAGCAGCTCTGAAGGTTACTAGAACGGTTCCTATTTGTGCCAGAGGGGGGCGACAAATGCTTATTAAAAACAAGTGAACATTTAAATGAAATGAATGTCCCACATTTCTCTGGAATTCTTGTACTTCTTGTATTTTGCTTAGAACGTTTGTGTTGTTTATACACCAAAAACATAACATTATATTAATGTTATATAGTAATACATATAATAATAATAATAATATTATAATTCATACAATTATGATTCATTCATAAACTGCTATAGGCTGAATGGGTGGGGCTAAATTGCTATAGGCTGAATGGACAGTGCTAAACTGCTGTAGGCTAAATGGGCGGGGCTAAACTGCTGTAGGCTGAATGGGCGGGGCTAAACCGACATAGTTTATAAATGCTTAAACATTTTTAGGATGAAAGAACGCATTCATATCCTGAACACAGAACAGCATAAAACATTAACACTGCTGTTATATTTTTAAGAGTAGCAGTAATGCCAACCAATCACCACTCAGTAGCAGTAATGCCAACCAATCAGCACTCAGTAGCAGTGATGCTAGTGATCAGAAACTTTTCATTTTAACTTTTCATTTTTAGCCACTTAGCTCCATTCACCCCCTATTCATTGAGGACTTGCTCGTGGGCGCCCTCTGCTGTTTTGCAGTCCTGTTTTTTACATAACGAGGGAAATAGGAAGTGGCCAGACTCCTCATAAACCGGCTCGGGTGTGGGTTCGCGGCTGTTCCTTCTCATTAAATGACGCTCACTAAAGCGACCTGTGTCCTAACAGCTCCCCCTTGTGGAGACACATCAGACTGCTAAACGTGCAGGAGTAAATGAGTTCCAAAGCCACACCCACTCGCTTTACATATTAAAATATGCCCATAGTGAATTGTGACGTGTTATATTTACAGAATTTTACAACTAATAACTACTGATGGCGCCAGCTTTACGGCCCGACTCACCGGCTTACTGGGGTACACGTTGGAGATGTGCTTCTTCAGCTTCTCCACGGTCCAGTTCAGGAAGCAGCTGATGGTCTGGTCGTCATATTTCTGGTTCGGAGCCCGGATGACCAGGGTGACCGGACTGTCGGCCGCATCCCGGTCCATCTTTCATTCTAAACGGAGCGGAGCAGCTCTGGAGCGTCACAGGCCGCCCTGCACTCGAGGGGAAACCTGGCTTTCCTAAATGTGGGTCATTAAAAGTGACAGGCCACCCAGCTGCCGCGTCCCTTTCGGCCGGTGGTAGGTTCTGGTCTCAGGATTCTTCCATTGTGATGAGCACAAACGGGCCTCTTTTCAGCCTGCGGGTCAGAGCAGAACAACAATGGTTTAGATGATCCTGACAGTTCTGCATGCAAATACAGGGGCAGACACACACAAGGGCAGAAGTGGAACACAGGCCAGAATGCACCAGATACTGAATTTAAACGTTTATTTATTAAATATAACTACTTAAAATACAGCTCATGGTGGACTATTTCGCCTGCTAGTGAGTCCGGATGCTATAAATAGTAATAATAATAATGATTTATTTGTGTTTTAGCCCAAAACAGGAGGCTGGAGCTGGCTTCTTCCTCGAATTTCCCGTTCCACCTTAAATGCTGCAGCAGTTAGAGTCTGGCGCCTGAGGCACTATAATAACTGCTGCAGCATTTAAGGTGGAACGGGGAATTCGAAGAAGAAGCCAACTCCAACTTTCGTGCTCAACATTCTTCACAAATATTAATCATAAACGGAAGAATAGCAAAACTAACAGGCGGATATGCGATTATACCTCACAGTTCTCCTCTAAGCAATATTTTAATCGATTATTTCTGTCTGTACTAAGCTAAAGATGCTAAAGCTACAGTGCTAATGCATTCTGTGCTGGTCAGTTTAGCTAGCCAGCCTGGATTATCGACATTAAATATTTTCTAGAAAACAACTGAATAAAGTCTGAAACGGTGAAGGTTTCGAACCTGAATCCGCTGTTTAATCCAGTTTCTCCTCCCTGATGTTTTTCCTGTGAAATGGAGGCGAACACGACACCAGAAATGACGTCACAGGTCGTGTTGGACATAAACAGTAAATAGTGTTATTAATATTATATATTAAAATTATGCAGATAACAGAAAACTGGGCGGGTTTAAATCAATAAACGACACACCCACACAATTATATTTCATTGTATCATATGTAAAAATATATATTATGTTATTTTACATCCACAAATGCACATTAAACCAGACTATACTGCAACTTTAATTAAAGGGGGACTCCACTGACTTTCCAAAATTCCCACATAATTAATGATTAAGATGTAATCAGAGTGGTTCAGAGCGGTTCAGAGCGGTTTGGTGTGAAACGCTCTGTTCTAGAGAAACTCACCGAGTCAGAACTGTTCACAGTGGTGGTGATAGGAACCAGACGTCCACCTCTAAAAGCTCCCTCACAGAAAGTTCCTACATGAAATGGTTATGAATTCACTGCCTGATGACTGAGACACTGTTTTATGATAGTTTAGAGAACTTAAACTCCATTCATGGTGGAGGGATACATGCAGGGCGCTGTGAGGCAAAATAGTCCCCAAAGAAAACTTATTATTTCAGATTTTCCACTATTTTTATATTCTGTTTATATTATATTCTGTCAAATATTATCTACAATATTGGAATACTTTACAAAAATAAAAAATGTTCAAGACATGTTTCACCTGTCTTTACTATTGTCATTATTTTAATAATAATAATAATTAATTTTATTATTATTATTATTACTGTTATTATTATTATTATTATCGTTATTATTATTATTACCTTTTTTATTTTATGACTTTGTTTGAGATGGAACTTCAGTGACTGTCCATGTAAAAATGCCTTAATAAAATTTAAAACGAACAAGAAAATAAAAGTGATAGTAATTTACCAGTAAAAAACACGGGAAATAATAAAAGACCAGTTAAAGCTGAAGTAAAGAAATCCGTTTTTAACTGTTTTTATCTGTTTATTAAAAACAGTGACAGAAGGAGCCTACAGCATGTTTATTGGTGATTAGTGATGTGTTCCAGATCTTAAATCAATGTTATCAATGAATCCTCTGTGTTAATTGTGAACTTTTAAAATCACATATTTGATATATTTTCTTGTTTTGTGTGTTCCACGTCATCGCCGTTGCCATGGCTACACACGCCTCGGTTCCGCGTTGTGTCCGATAGAGGGCGCCTGCGTGGCGATGCTAAAGCTAACGGTGAAGCTAACGGAGCCGCAGCCGCGGAGCAGGAGGAGCCGCTGCAGCCGAAACGGAGAGAATTAAAACAAAAACACTCCGTTTATATCACATTTAACCTTCTACGGGCTGTATTATGAAAAGATGGTAGTTAAAGCGAAGAAGCAGAGTCCGAAGGACCAGACTGCGGCGGAGAGGGAGCGCAGCCCCGCGGCTCCGGGCAGAGGCAGGCGGGCGAGGGAGAGCAGAGCGCCGCCTCAGAGCAGCCTGAACGCGTGCAGAGCCGGCAGCCTCTCCGCGCTCCTCCGGAGCCGACTCGGCCTGGGTCCGGCTGCCTCCTTCAGGCTGCTCACTGTGTTCGCTCTCGGTGAGTAAACTCGCTCTGTGATGATAAAGTGGGGAGGGCGCTTTGTTCAATAGCTTTTACCGCAGCAGGAAAACTTAACAGGGTTAAAATGCTGAATTAAAAGTTTTACAGCCGAAACACTGATTTCAGTTCAGCTTTTAGTTCAGTCAGAGCTGAAAATACACCAAGAGCAGAAGAGCAGCGCAGCTGGGTATGAGAGCAGATACATGCAGACTTACCTGTGTTTTGATATTAAGAACTGATAATGAGGGATATAAAATCATTTATTATTATTTGACTTAATAACGGCTTCTACATCAGAGCAACCGGAGGACTGAACACTGCCAACCAGCCCCAGCACAGGAACTGAGTGTGTGCCTGCATCCAAAATATAATCAAGGAATATTAAAACATTTTACATTAACTGGCACTTTTATATTTATTTATTAAACCGCACTATTTGTAAATAGAAGTACTGCCATCCACAGCGTGCAATAGCTGCTACAATCCTTTATATTCACCCTGTTTATTTTAGTTTTTTATCATTTAAATTATGTAGTCTTTCATTTTAATGGCTTGCATTTTATATTAGCTTGTATTTTAAAGTTATTCCTAGTTTAATGTTTTTTTGTTAATGCACTGTTAGGATTGCTGCCCAATTTCGTGTTACTGCAATGACAATAAAGCATCTTATATTAGATAAAAATGTCCTGTATTAATTTATTTCTGTAGAAAAGCTTGTGCACTGGCAATAAAGCCATTCTATTCTATTCTGTCCTATTTTGTGGGGTGTGGGATAAAATCACACTAATTTCTCAGTGTGATCGCACTTTAATATTGATTACTGTACTGTATACATCAGTCTGTAATGAAAATAATAAGTCTAATCATCAGTGTCTGTTCACATGCATGCAGTTAGGGGTGGGCAATATGACGATATTTTAACATTATCGTGATAAATTAAGTCACGATAAGTGTTTCTAGGCGTATCGTTGATATCATCAGTACTTAAAGATCACAGACTAACCACACGTTTCATTACAGAATGAGCACAATTAGGCCTGTTTAACTGGATTTCAGTGCAGTTTGTAAAACATTAAATACAAATATTTGGAGATATAGAATAATATTACCATTATTGTTATTATTATTGTAGTATTTATGTGGCAATACAGGTTCTATTTTATCTGTTCCAACTTATTAAATCTCAGAAAAACTAAATATCATGATTGTGAAAATGTCTTGAATATTGTGATATAATATCTTCCATCATATCGTCCACCCCTACAAATCTGCTACAGATCCCTATAGTCTGTACTGAGGAAAAATGAGGTTAATAGTTATTTGTCTCTGTGTCCTCAGCTGTCACTGCAGGATTTCTCCACTGGTAAGATGCCAATTTTCCCTCACACTCAGATAAAAAAGATAAATAAATAATAAAGTAATGTGATCTTTTTTGTTGTATGTATTTTTAGGCACCATCTCTTCCATCTGTTTGAAAACGACAGACATTTCTCTCACATGTCAGCTCTGGAGAAGGAAATGGCCTTCAGGACTGAGATGGTGCGCTTCATTTCCCTCTGATTTACTCAGTAGATTTTTCAGCTCAGTCCTGTTTTTGAGTTTGCTGCACATCCTTCAAGTGCAGTTCCACCTATTTTTCAAAATTGCTGCATAACGTTTCTGACGTAACCAGAGTGACTCAGAGTGGTTTGGTGTGAAATGGTTCAGATGTCTTTACAGTGGTGGTGATAGGAACCAGGGGTCGCCATGACTACAACACAAATATAGACATTTTATTTACTATCCAGAACCACCAGTGAACCTACACGAGTCTTCTGAGTCTACATGGAATGTTGATGATGGAAAATAGTGGAAAATCTGAAATAATAAGTTTTCTTTGGGGACTATTTTGCCTCACAGCGCCTGCATGTATCCCTCCACCATGAATGGAGTTTAAGTTCTCTAAACTATCATAAAACAGTGTCTCAGTCATCAGGCAGTGAATTCATAACCATTTCATGTAGGAACTTTCTGTGAGGGAGCTTTTAGAGGTGGACGTCTGGTTCCTATCACCACCACTGTGAACAGTTCTGACTCAGTAAGTTTCTCTAGAACAGAGCGTTTCACACCAAACCACTCTGAACCACTCTGAACCACTCTGAACGGCTCTGTTTACATCTTAATTTTGAATTTTGAAAAATGGGTGGAGTTCCCCTCTAAAGTGAGTTAAAGTGTTGTTTACTGTGTGTTTATAAATGAAGGGGCTGTATTACTCCTACTTTAAAACCATCATCGAGGCTCCGACCTTCCTGGATGGGCTTCATCTGATCATGAACGACAGGCTGACCGAGTATCCGCTGGTGATCAACACCTTAAAGAGGTTCAACTTGTACCCGGAGGTCAGACGCAGTTAAATTTCATTAAATTGTTTTAGATTTTAATTGATTTATAGATTTGATGGTCCACTGTAAATGCTTTGCATCTGAGTTCTCCGCCGCCCCCCCCCCTGTCTCTCTGCAGGTGGTCCTGGCCAGCTGGTACCGTGTTTACTCCTCTATAATGGACTTCTTCAGAATCCCCACCAAGATGTGTTGGTCCATCAACAGGGGGGAGGGGCTGGAGCCGGTGGAGAGCTGTGAAGGTATCGCTGATCAAATACAGAGGGGGGGGGTCACATTCATTGGGGGTGCTGCATCTCAATGGAAATTTAGCACAATCTAAATCAGGGGGGTCAAACTCAACCGCATAAAGGGCCATATTAAAATATCTCAATTAGCATTATGCTACAATCCGAACTGACCATTGTTTATAGAATACGCAAAAACTTCAACAGTAAAATACAGACGCCTGTAGTAGAGCTTAAAATATTACAGGAATACTTAAATATTCTAAATGTAAACATTCTCAGGAGCTCAGTCTGTTAAACCCACCTGTTTTCTTGAATTAGACCCCTGATATCTTTTCTCTACTGGAGTTCATTAAAACCTGGGCTCAGTTTCTGAGCTGCTGAGCTGCGTTCAGTGTTTACATTGGCTGAACTGTGGTTATTGTGTTTGGTGATATGACTGGTGTGGAATTGTTTAGAATTGAGGTGTAACCGCTGTCCCATAGACCAGGGGTGTCCAAAGCTCGGCCCCAGGGCCAAATGCAGCCCACGGACAGATTTTAATTCTGTTTTACGGTGTATTTTAAGCGGCCTGCCTGCCTGCCAGTACGTTGCAGTTCACCGGATGGTGGCAGCTGACCAGACCTGCAGCTTCATTTACTGAACTACATTTAGTCAAGACTACAGACATAAAGCTCAGACTACACTGAGAACTGGCGATTTTGGCAAGATGGAAAACTCCTTATCAGAGCAAATTCAGTCGTTCAGTAAATATTAACCCTTTAAGGTCGAACAGCAACGTGGCTACACTGTTTATTTGATATGTAAAGAACATTATTTAACAAAACCACAGATTCATGGAATTTTTTATTTAGTTTGTCTCACAAAGTATATTTTTCAACAAGTAAACCCTCTAATAGGAATATGATTAATACTTTAGACATGTTGTATTGTTACTCTTAAAGTTTAATTATTTATTACAAGAGCTTATCGATCCAAACTGCTCTGAATGATCAATCCAACAATAACAGAAGCATCTTTAATACAGTGATAGGAAACACAGTCACTCACAGGAAGCTCAGATTCTACACACTGATATTTTAAAAACTTAATATTTTGAATAATTGTGAATAATAGTTCAGCCCTCAGGTATTTTGACACAGTACAATCTGGTCCTGTTTGAAGAAAGTTTGGACACCTCTGCCATAGACTATTGTTGGAGTAGGAGAGTCCGAGCACACATTTTGTTGCAGTGCATGCTGGGCACTGTAGAATTTTGAAATTGAAACACTTTTGTGGGCCGGTTAGGATTGTGTGGTGGGCCTGATCTGACCCGCCGGCCTTGTGTTTGACACATGGGCTCTAAACAATCACACGCTGGCCTCAGATGAGCTACTGAACGAAATCATATTAAAACTAAAACGTTTAGTTCCCAGAAATCATTAGAGCTTCTCTGAAGACCTAGATCAGTGTTCCCCAACCCGGTCCTCAGAGCCGGTCCACATTTTGGCTCCAACCATACTCGGATCATTAGGAACTATTCAGTTCGTCCTGCTGAAGGTGAAGACTAAACATGGAGAAGCAGCGTTTAGATACTACGCTGCTCTTAAATGGACCCAGTGGACAGAGAGCTCTACTGCTCCTCTGTCCTCTAACAGCATTATATTATCATCATTTCATTCACATAATTTAATGATTAATTGCTTCTCTTTTTAAAATCTGTTTTGATCATGTTTTTATTCCCCCACATCTTTTTACATTTTAATCTGAAAGATCTCTGTATTTTCTCATTTGTAAAGCAGTTTGAATGACCACAGTGCATTAAAAATGCTGTATAAACAAACCAGCCGTGCTTCAGCTCAACACAGAGATGAAGGAGAAAAGTGGACTGTGAGAACCGGACTAGGAAACGCAGCTCCAGAGGTTCTCAGGGTTCCTCAGTGGACTGATTCACGTTTCTCTTTTCTTGTACAGTTTTAACTCAGACTAAATTTATCTTCACTCCTGCGAACACTGAGAATAATAATACCAGCTCAGAGCTGAAGGTGTGAGAGTCGAGTTGTTCTCTGCTGCTGTCAGGTTTCCTTCCTCTTCACACCTGCTGTGTTTCTCTCAGGATTGGGCGACCCTGCTTACTTCTACGTCACGTTTGTTTTCCTGCTGAACGGAGTGATGATGAGCCTGTTCTACGTTTACGGAACGTATCTGAGGTGAGTCAGAGGGTCAGATTTCAGTGATCGATCAGTTTTAGGCTGGTTTTACACTGAAACCTTCACACAACTTTAGTGGCTTGAAACCTACATGGAACTAAAGTTCAGAGTTGCAGAATTTAAAGCGCCCTGCTACTTATTTGAAACTCAGCCACAACGTCTCAATATTCTCAAGTTTCGTAAAAAAAAAACAAAAAAAGCCAATCAAAATGCAGGTAACGCATCACATGATCACTGTTTTAAAACCATTGATTTCACCGGATCAGTGAAGGAGAGAAAAGAACCGAAGATGGTTTATTATGAATCTGAAATGAAGATCCTCCTGATGAACTTCAGGGCGGTGGTTCAGTTTCTGTCCTCTCAGTCTGTAACTGTAACGGCTACTTAAACATTAGTTTTCAAAGCCTTAACAAAAAAACAACAGAAAAAAATCCAATATACCAAACAATTGCATATGGATATATAAAACACAGATATATAGATACAGAAAAAAGAACGGCAGTAACAGCTGGAAAAAATATACCGAGAATGCCGCAAATATGTAAATGACACTGTGCAGATGACTTTATAACGAGAGTGATGTGGTGTTTTAAAAATTGTTGGTAATTTGTTTGACTAGTGGATTAACTAATTGTGTTGCGCGCAAATTGGATTGGTTTTTGAGTTGCTCTGTGTAGCTGTCAGGTTGCACAGGAATTATGTTGCATGCAACTCAATTTGCAACTGGCTGCATGTCAGTTTCATGGTGTAAAGCTGGCCTCACAGCCTGTTCCAGTGTCCACTAACGTTCCTGTGTTCTGTTTTTGTGGCAGTGGCAGCCGACTCGGCGGAGCGGTTACAGTTCTGTGTTTCTTTTTTAACCACGGAGAGGTATGAACACACACACACACACACACACACACTCAAACACACACACACACACACACACACACACACACACACACACACACACACACACACACACAAAGAACTGCTGAAATAGAGCCATAGTTTTTACACAGTTCACACAGCCCCCCTCCCTCCCTCCCCCCTGGGTGGCTCATGTGGTTTCTGACACTGTATGACAGACGACTGTCTTCATAAACACTGAACCACAGTTTACTCCATAATCATAGATAACAGAGTCAGACAGTATCAGAAACCACAGTCTAGAGACGACACACACGCTCAAACAACACGGTTCTATAAGGGTTCCTTAGGAAAGAAAATGGTTCCATGAACACTCAAAGAAACATTTGCATGATGAAAGGGTTCTTCAGATTATGCTGTAGATAGTTCTATTTTGAACCTTTTTGAAAAGGGTTCTATATAGCACCAAAAGGGTTCTTCTATTATTATGATGTCAAGCTTGTAACAATAGAAGAAACCTCTTGGGTGCTATATAGAACCCTTTTCAAATAGGTTCTATATAGAACTATCTACAGCACATTAAAAAGGTGATTCTTCAAGGGTTCTTTAGTAAAGAGAATGGTTCCATTTAGAACCACGAGCTCTGTCTAGAACCATATCATGCTTAAATGGTTCTTTGCATGATGGAATCATTTTCAGATTGACGGAGAATGTATTATGGTTCTATATAGAACCGAAAAGGGTTCTGCTGCGTTATGATGTCAAGCTTGTAACAATAACAGAACCCTTTTTGGTGCTATATAGAACCATAACACATTCTTTGAGTGTTCATGGTTCTATGTAGAACCATTTTCTTTACTAAAGAACCCTTGAAGAACCGTGTTTCTTAACGGTGTAGCACCGTGCTAATTGGTGTTGTATAAGCTGCCATTGCTTGTTGGCTACGTTAGCCTACATTAGCTCCAGTGCTAAAGCTAAAGGAGCGTCAGACAGCCGGCGCGTTTTGGCTGATTGGCGGCTTTAACAGTGTTAACACAGCTGTTTGTGTATAACGGCTTGTTGTGTGTTGTGTCTGTCAGAGTACGCGAGTGATGTGGACCCCCCCGCTGAGAGAGAGCTTCTCCTACCCCTTCCTCGTCCTGCAGATGCTCCTCCTCACCTACATCCTCAGGTAGCTCACTGTGGATGTGTTGGTATTTGCTGATGAATTATAGAAGATGCAGATTCCAACATCCCACCAGCTCTGTGGTGTAAAACTCTGAGCAGGTCCTGCTGATCACTATGATCAAGATGAGAAGATCTGAGTCACTTTGAAAGAGCTGAACATCTCTGAGGGGTTTAGTAGTGATGCGTTGGCCAACAGTGTGTCCAATCTGATTGAATACATTGGGATTACAGATTCAGACTGAGGTGTTTATTCTCACTCTACTCAACACTCTGATGAACATCTCTGTTTACATCCTCACAACAAGTAATCAGATCCAAAATTACAAGCATGTGTAGAGTCCATCTTAGTGTAGACGTTACCATGACAACCAGCATCACGCGAGTCCAGTCAGAGTGAGATGAGCAGCAGTGAGCAGTGCTTGTGTTTTTAACTGCTTTAAAATGATGTCAGACTCAGGAAAACGTCCTTCACATGTCCTTATTAAAGAAGGCCGAGAGGAAGACGTCGTGTTCTGAGACACATAAGCTGGACGTCCGTCCCACCGCCGTCTTTTAAAGATCAGAGCATAAACTTCGTCTCCTCTGCAGACCAGTTTCTGCTCCACCATGTTGAACGGTATAAACTTTCACTATGACGTGACGAACACGATCAGAACGGACTTAAACTTTCCGATAGGGAATGTGATCAGATACAGGCGTTTACACGGATATTATTCTTCTATTTAACGGATTATTTACAGGATTACCCACCTCGATCAGTCGGATAGAAACTGTATTCTGAATGGCCTCAATCAGACTAAACTATTCCGACTGAGGTGTTTACATGGACGTATTCTATTCCGACTGAGCTATTAGTCTGATTATTAATGGATTATCGGGCTACATGAAGTGGCTGTTCTCCACCACTATCGACAAAACACCAGCTGAGCGAATCTTGAATCTGGAAGAACCGTGTTCCATCATAGAGCCCTGAAGCTGCTCTGGTGGCCCAACACCTTAATACGCTTTATGCTGTTTTGTCCTCGTCTGTGTTCTTATATTGTGTAAACAGTTTCTCCAGTTGTGTATCTGGTGTATTATTAATAATAATAATAATCCTGAGTCGTGCCAGATTAATCAACTCTAACTGGTGAAATGTGAGATTAAACGAGTGGAAACTCAATTAAGTTCCCAGTGCTGGTGTTCCTGGTTCTGACTGGCTCCTGTGCTGGTCCTCCTGATGATGCGTTGTGTCTCTGCAGGAGCCGTAAGCCGAGCCGTAACGCCGTTCTGGCTCTGTGTCTGTCTAACGTGGTCTTCATGCTGCCCTGGCAGTTCGCTCAGTTCGTCCTACTGACGCAGGTGAGCCGAGCGGCCGGGTCAGAACCACCTCTGATCATTCTGAGCTCTTTATAGTACACTAAAAAGTTTGAGTTCATTTTTCAGTTTTACAGTTTTTCTGCATTTTTTAACCCAAATTCCCTCTAATTCCAGGTGGCCTCTCTGTTCGTCTCCTACGTTCTGGGCTACTTGAGTCCAGATAAAATGCAGACCATCCTGACCACCCACATGGTGAGAGGCTCCTCGCAGCACTCTGCTCTGAGCGTCTGAGTGTTGGAGATCTGAGCCAGATTCACAGAAGAAAATCTTCAATGTGCTTTTTTCTCAGTTACATACTTAAACAGTTCTTTCTTCTTTCCTTATAAAAAAGTCTTTTCACATCAAAACTAAACATTTTTTATTTTGCCAAATCGTTAGCAAAGAAAGATGTGCAGAATATCTGTGATCACACAGTGGAAGGGCAGTGACACTGGGCTGCTGTCCATTCAGGGAAAGTGAAAGTAGCGTGAAGAGCTTCATCACCTCGTGGAGAAGCTGAAACTCCGAGTTCTTCCACACAGGCTGTGACTCTGGTGTTCGTAGCTCAGTTTGACATCTAATTGTTAAAATCCATCAGAGAGGTTTTCTGCTGCAGAGCATCGTCACTTCAGTGCTTCTTTGCTAAATGTTTTTGAATATTTGGTTTGATTTTGCAGCTTTTTTTCACCTTATTAGACTAAATGAAGATGTTATCTGATGTGGTGTTTCTGCCGTATCGTCCAGCCCTGCTGTACTGCCCTGTGTTCTGTCTCAGGTGGCTCTGGGAGTGTGTTTCGTCCTGATGTTTGGGAACTCCATGCTGCTCACCTCCTTCTACGCCTCCTCTCTCATCTCCATTTGGGTGAGTTAGACCAGCGTGACTCTGGGGGGCGCGGGCGGCGCGGGGGGTCTGCACTTTCACTTCTGCTGGACTGAGTGATGGTTTTATCTTCTCGTTTCAGGGAATCATCGCTCTCAGGGACCGGTTCCGAGAAACCTTCAGACCTGGACTTCTCACATGGGTAAGAGAGGAACTCAGGAGGAACCAGGACTCGCTGATTTGGTCTCTGCTGGTTTTAAAGTGATAGTGTCTCCATTTGCTTCTTTAGTTTTCGCACTGGAGCTATCAGATCGGTATCAGACAATACTCAAGGTTTTAGTATCGGCATTGGTTATTGGACGATACTCAAGGTTTCAGTATCTGTATTGGTTATTGGACGATACTCAAGGTTTCAGTATCGGTATTGGTTATTGGACGATACTCAAGGTTTCAGTATCGGTATTGGTTATTGGACGATACTCAAGGTTTCAGTATCGGTATTGGTTATTGGACGATACTCAAGGTTTCAGTATCTGTATTGGTTATTGGACGATACTCAAGGTTTCAGTATCGGTATACGATACTCAAGGTTTAAGTATCGGTATCAGCTATTGGGCGATACTCAAGGTTTCAAAATCACATCAGTATCAGACTGTGCTAATTTCAGTATCGATATTGGTTATCAGACGATACTCAAGGTTTCAGTATCGGTACCAGATGATACTCAAGGTTTCAGTATCGGTATCGGTTATCGGACGATACTCAAGGTTTTAGTATCGGTATCAGGCGTTACTCAAGGTTTCAGTATCGGTATCAGTTATCGGACGATACTTGAGGTTTTAGTATCAGTATCAGACGATACTCAAGATTTATAAGTATCAATATCAGCTATCGGACGATACTCAAGGTTTCAGCATCAACTGACAACAAATTTTAGATTTTTGCTGAACTGTCATTTCAATGGCGTTTCTACCCACAGGTCATGCAGTGCCTGGCTTGGGTGGTGACCACGGTCATTCTGAAGTTCATGCTGGCCTTGGTGTTGGGGGCGTCGGATGATGTAAGTGTCTGAGTGAGGCGGAAAGCAGCGGTGATGATTTTTATCACTGTTATTGATTATCGTCGTGGTTTAGCTCTTGTGTGGATCACTCTGATTATCTTGTGTTTATCTGGTCTTTAGGCTCACATCAGCAGCCTGATCAAGTCCAAATTCACCAGCTACAAGGACTTTGACACCATGATGTACACTTGCGCCGCCGAGTTCGACTTCATGGAGGTGGAGGTCAGTGGCGCCAACCTTCTCAGGGTCAGAAACTGACCACGAGACTTCACTGCAACGATTAACGATAGTGTGATGTTTACACCAGCAGGTCCTATAAAGTGACAGGTGGTCAGAACGTTGGATCAATAGTTCTCACGCTGCAGCATCACGTTTGAGAGCCAAACAGAAGTTGAGCTTAAATGTAAAGCAGCAGAACAGTGTTTGTGTTCACCTGCAGAGATTTTCTCCAATCTGATCGAAAACATTCAGTTACAGATTCAGACTGAGGTGTTTATTCTCACTCTACTGAACAATCTGATGAAAATCTCTGTTTACATGCTCACTACAAGTAATCCGATCTAAAACGACGCGCATGCGTAGAGAACCACTTGGTGTAGACGTTACCATGACAACCAGCATCACGTGAGTCCAGTCAGAGTGAGATGAGCAGCAGTGAGCAGTGCTTGTGTTTTTAATCTCTTTAAAATGATGTCAGACTCAGGAAAACGTCCTTCACATGTCCTTATTAAAGAAGGCCGAGAGGAAGACGTCGTGTTCTGAGACACATAAGCTGGACGTCCGTCCCACCGCCGTCTTTTAAAGATCAGAGCATAAACTTCGTCTCCTCTGCAGACCAGTTTCTGCTCCGCCATGTTGAACGGTATAAACTTTCACTATGACGCGACGAACATGATCAGAACGGACTTAAACTTTCCGATAGGGAATGTAATCAGATACAGGCGTTTACACGGATATTATTCTTCTATTTAACGGATTACGATACTCAGGGTTTCAGTCTCGGTACCGGCTGTTGGATATATTATAAACAGCACTAACATACATACCATATTGCAAATCCCAAACAGGTGCTACTATTAAAATAGTGCTGCAGTCTGACTGTATCTGACCCTCAGTATAAACAGCCAACCAGGTTTTAGAACTGGACCAACACACCCAGATTGCGCTGAGGAACTGACCCTAACGTAGACCCTCTGTGCTGTTTCAGACGGTCCTGCGCTACATTAAAACTCTGCTGCTGCCCGTCAACGTGCTGCTGGTCGGCGTTATTGCTGGACGGGTGAGGCTTCGGTTTTTACATTATATTTCATATTTCATTTACCCAGAATTCCCTTCACATCTATACATCATGAAGAAAATATTTATCTTATCCTTCTTCTCTTCATCTCCCTGCAGACCTTAAAGGACGTCGTCTCATTCATCAGACATCCAAGTCCTGCAGAACCTGAAAACGATCACGGCTCTGACCAGTGAGTGACCGATTCATTTAAGTTCATTTACAGTTTGACATTTGGGTTTTTGATCTGCTGGAACAGCTGCATATCAGATCTGAGCTCAGCTTAAATATTAGTACTAACTGACTGATAGAAAAACATATCGCTGTTGTCGGAAGAAAACCTTGTATCTCCAAAATGGTAACTTTACAGGAATGGAACCAGAATTTGTCCAAGTCATTTTGGGTCGTTTGTTTTGGTCCATTCATCATGAAATTTACACACAATGTAAAGAGCAACAGGCATTTTCAAATTACCAAAAACAAAAAAAACAATTAAACAATTAAAAAGCACTCATGGCTGAAACACGCCTTAAAACTTTGGTGTAGTTTAGCCCCACTTATTCACACTTTACACCAAAGTTTTTTTTGTTTTTGTTTTACCACTTTTCTCCCCAATTTAGTCGTCTCCAATTCCACCCGCTAGTTAGGACTCCCCCAATCACACGATGCTATCAACGCTGGGAGGGTGAAGGCAACACAGGCTTCCTCCGAGCCCTGTGAAGCCAACCACCGCTTCTTTTCGAGCTGCCGCTCACGCAACGGCACTGGACAGCCGAACGCGCTCGGAGGAAAGTGCCAACCGCCAGATCTGTTACGTCAGCTAACAGACGCCTGCGCTGACTAGCATCGCGCTGAGTGATGGGGGGAGAAGGAGGGGCCATCCTACCCACCCAGAGAGAGCGAGGCCAGTTGTGCTCTCTCGGACTCCCGGCTACGGACGGCTGTAGCATCACCAGGGATCGAACTTGCGATCTCCTGATGATAGGGCCAACGCTTAGACGGCTGCGCCACTCGGGAGCCCTACACCAAAGTTTTAAGGATTGTTTCAGCTATGAGTGCTTTTTAATGAGGCACAATACAGGATAGCCAATCAGAACAGAGCTCGTTTACATACATCTGTCTTAAAAGCACAAAAAAAGCCTAAAGAGAGGCTGAAAATGATTGAAAATGTTGCAGAAATGAATTCTGACTGTTTTGGTCCATAAAACTACACAAATGTTATAAATCGACCGCAAGGGAGAAAATAAAATCAAATAAAATATAGAATATGGACCCTTTAATATGCAGAATGAGTAACAAACATTTTTTTCAAACTTAATCTAAAATGAGAGTCAGCAGTGAGAGTGACGGCGCTTTGAACACTTTGAGACACTTTGAGAGCTGTGTCACACCTCACAGAGCCGGGGATACAGAACAGACAACACAACAGGATCAGTTCACACTCAGAGTGAAAATGAGGAATTATTAAAATAGCATATTTCATCTAAATCAGATCAGGTGTATTAATGTACTCATCTATACTGAGCAGCTGTTTACTAGCATATAAATACTGAACCGATATCAGCTGATAAGCTGTATTAAAGCTCTGGAGACGACAGTGGAGTCGTTTACTGTTTATTAATTGTTTGAGTTGTTTGTGTCTTTACAGGTCAGAGAAGTTGGTGAAGGGTGTGGTAAGAGCAGCATCATTTAAACTCCACTGACCTTCAGCTTCACTGGCTATACTACTACTATTACACTACTACTTACTACTACACTAATAATAATAATAATAATAATTTTACTTAATGCATTCCCTAATAATTAATGATTAAACATGCAAGTAATGTTTCAGTTGGTATAACTATAATCATATTTTTGTTGTTAAATGTAATAGTTTAAAAAGTAACTGAAATATAATAATTAATAATAGTGTTATTATTTAATGTAGTAATTCGATGCTCTGTGTTTGACTCTCTGTGTAGATGGTGTATCACAGTCTGCAGTTGTTGGCGTTTGCAGTTCTGGCTGTTCTCATCATGAGACTCAAACTGTTCCTCACTCCTCACATGTGTCTGATGGCGTCTCTGCTCTGCTCTAGACAGGTACAACCCCACCCCACTCCCCCAACACACACACACACACCTGTATCTCACTGTAAACCTCATAAACTCACTCATATACCACTGTAAACCTTGTAAACTCAACTGTGTACCACTGTAAACCTTGTAAACTCAACTGTGTACCACTGTAAACCTTGTAAACTCAACTGTGTACCACTGTAAACCTTGTAAACTCACCCGTATATCACTGTAAACCCTGTAAAAATCCCCCATGTCACTGTAAATCCTGTAAGCACCCTGTATTTCACTGTAAATGCTGACTGGATGACTCTGTACTGATTCAGGTGTTGATATGAAGGTTTATAATCTGTATATGAGTGTTATGATTATTACGCTGTAAGTGAACGTGGTTTGTGTCCTCGTGCAGCTGTTCGGTTGGCTCGGTGAAAAGCTGAAGCACCATGCGGCCGTCCTCGCCATCCTGTCCATCATGGCTGTTCAGGGTGTGACCAACCTACAGTACCAGTGGGGCATCATGGGAGAGTTCAGTAACCTGCCTCAGGAGGAGCTGCTGGAGTGGATAAAGGAGAACACTCCACAGAGTGAGCAGACCATCCTGATTCACACCCTCTGTAGCTCATTCGTTCATTCAGACCAGAAGCTTCATCATCATAAACTTAATTTATTTAATTTAATGAATCTTACTGAGTTAATACTAGTGCTGATACTGATGGTGGTGTGTTGTGCAGGTGCGGTGTTTGCGGGTGCGATGCCCACCATGGCCAGTGTGAAGCTGTCAACTGGCAGAGCCATCGTCAACCACCCGCACTACGAGGACGCAGGACTGAGGTTAATACACTACACTAGCACTTACACCACCACTGTCGCTACACTACGACTGTAACTACCCTACACTGACACTACAGCTGTTACTACACCATCGTGGCCGCTAACATTACCACTACACGAACACGGCCGCTAACGCTGCACTACCACTGCACACGAACTCTGCGCTGCCTCTAACACACTGAGTGTGTTTACATGCACTTAATAATCTGATAACTGCAGAAAATCAGATTTTGTCAGTAATCAGATCAACGCGTTTACAAACAGTTGAGTAATCAGATAATGGGGAAACTCCAGGTCTACATGAGTCAGACAGTAATCAGATTTCTGCTTTACAACCAGCCAATAAACTCACAAAAGAAGACGTGACGTAAACGTAAAACTCAACTTCATGACGCGGCTTTTTTCATCGCGCGAATTCACTTAAAAATATGATCGTACATCATTTAGAAGATGAAGAATATTAAAATCCTTCATTTTGTGTTTGGTTTCAGCATCGCTTCAGTAACGCCGCTCGCTTATTTCCGGTACCACCGTCATGCTCAGACTGAGAAATCCGAAAGAAATCAGAGTAAGAGTTTACAGCACTGAGAAATCTGATTACTGAGCTAAAATCCAGCCTCTTTATCAGATTTCTAGATCGGAGTATGCTGTTTACATGACCATTTGAATAATCAGATAACTGCAGAAATCTGATTATGATCAGATTAATGAGTTCATGTAAACACACTCAGTAACACAACAGCTACACTAACATGACCACTAACATTACAACTAACTACTAATACACTCGCACCAGCACAACACACACTAACACACCACCACCACGTCAGAGTCACTGCAGTGCTGAGAATGATCCACCACCCAAAAAGTACCTGCTCTGTGAGGGTCCATGGGGGTCCTGACCACTGAAGAACAGGGTAACAGAGTATGCAGAGAAACAGATGGACTACAGTAACTGTAGAACAACAGAGTGAATCTATACGGTCAGTGGAGCTGATAAAGTGGACAGTGAGTGTAGAAACAAGGAGGTGGACTTAATGAAGAGCTCAGTGAGTTTATGTAAATCATAGTTTTCTGTATTGATGCACACATTTATAACCCACAGTGCTGTTTGTGTCTTATTGAGCTGTGTACATGTTATATGTATGTATTCTGTAAAGTCCAGCTGCTCTGTGTGAACATTTCCTGATGAGTGGACCCACAGAGACGATGCTGTGAATAAAAACTTGTCCTCCTTCTGTAAAGTCGTCGTCCTGAGGTTTCGTTAAAACAGCGACGGTCAGTAAAGGCGAGTGTTGTGTGCTGTGTTTGTGGTCAGAGAGCGGACGAAGCTGGTGTATGCGATGTACAGCCGTAAGCCGGTGGAGGTGGTGAAGAGGAACCTCATCAGTCTGCAGGTGGATTACTTCATCCTGGAGGACTCGTGGTGCACCAGACGCTCCAGGTGAACGCAAACACAGCTCTGCTCTGTTAAAGCAACAGTGCAGCAAAACAGTACACGCCCCCGGAGGTAGCCGCTCAGCCGAGACGTGTTCGGTGTCTGAAGTTCGCTTCTTTAGTTTTAGCACTGGAGCTATGAGGCTAATGTAGCTAATGAGTAATGGAAGCTTATACTCCACCAGTTAGCGCTGGGCTAACTGTCCTTCTAAACAGACACGCTCACCTTAAACATGTTAGTAGAGTGAACTTCTCTGTGCTCAGGCGACAGAATGTGACTGCTGCACCATTTAAGGTGGAACAGAAAATTCGAATAAGAAGCTGCGAATAGGGGAGCTTCAGCTCTGAGTCTCGGAGTGTGGAGCTGTTCAGTATCTTATAACTAATATTAAGTGACCCTTATTAGTCACCTTCGCATTTAACCCATCCACGCAGTGAAACACCACATACACATTAGTCAAAGCACACACACACTAGGGGGCAGTGAGCAGCCCTATCCACCAGCAGTTGGGGGTTAGGTGTCTTGCTCAAGGGCACTTCAGTCACATACTGTCGGCTCAGGGGATCAAACCGGCGACCTTCCGGTCACGAGGCTGGTTCCCTAACCTCCAGCCATCCTGCCCCACTAACAGACCTGATTATTTGGTTTATGACACTTTATGATATAAACATGGACTAAAGTACTTTAGCTTAGCGAAACACAGTAGCAGCATCTGAAATCAGCAGATGACTCAGGAAAGCGGCGGCATCTGAGTTGGAGGAAATTCAGATGCTAATATTCCAGTTTGAATTATGTATTAAGTATTTCTTTAATACACCTGTCCAGGGTGTGTCCTGCCTTCCGCCCAGTGACAGCTGGGATAGGCTCCAGCACCCCACCGCGACCCAGAAGGATAAGCGGTTTAGATGATGTGTGTGTGTGTGTGTGTGTGTGTGTGTGTGTGTGTGTATTTCTTCAAAACAGTCACACTCGTTTTTGTGCTGTGTCGGTGGAGTTCACTGTGCCGAGTGGTTTCTTGACGCAGATTTCCAGAAAAAATAGAAAACTTCTGCTTTGAGTTTAAATTTGGCAAATGTTGACACAAATTTGACTAACAGTGCTGCTGATGATGAAGCTAACGCTAATTTAACCAGCACAAACCTTTAGACATCTCTTTCCTCTGACCACACCAGATATTTATGCGTTTTCCTTCAGGTCAGTGTGTCCTGTACTGTTCTGAGCGTATAATTATCTGATACAGTTCTGATTTACTGTTTACAGTTTACTGTTTATGACATGTAAGTTAGCCAGCCTGCTAAATCTAAGGGTTAGCTTAGAACCTTGCACTGACCACCTACACTTAGGCCTAATCCCATTTCTTCTTTTTACCCCTACCCCTTGTTTTCGAGTGTCACCCTAACCCTTTGAAACTGAGTTACAGGGTAGTGGTTGGAATCTTCCCTCTGAAATGAGACCCTCAAATAAAAAGAGCAGCACTTCATTAACAGCTACCAGCGCTGCTCTGTAGGCGACCCTGCCAGTCTGCAGTGACAGCAGAGGAGGGTAAAGTTCAGCTCCTCACTGCTGGGCTTTAGTTACATTTAGGACATCATATGATCTTCAAAGAGGGGGGCAATTATTTATTATCACCCCCCCCTAATTCTTCAGTGATATGAAGCTGAAGTCAGATATTCACCAGATTCTTGTTAGAACTTTCCTGTTCCACCTTAAATGGAGCAGCAGTTACATTCTGGCGCTTCAGGCATCAGAACTGCTGGACTATTTAAGGTGGAACGGGAAATTTAGCTAGCTAGCCACTGAGACGTTAGCATGCTGTTAGCGATTTTTTATGCTTGTTATGAAGAAAATTCTCACATTTGTGGGTTTCTTTGGTCTCTTGTTCTCCATCTTGCTGGTTTTTCATTTTTCCTCATATCTCTCTGTTTGGAGTCTCTGAAAAACCTCCGTTTGCAGGGTCATGTAGCCCCAACACTTCACCCTCCCCCTCTATCTCAACAAGAATCAGGACACCCTACCCTCAGATGAGAGCACGCAAAACAGAGGGCTCAGGGCTCAGTGGTAGGGGCGAGGGGTGAAATGGGACGGAGCCTTACACTGTATTGCGCTACAGATCGGCGTGCAGCACCGTATGGAATTATTTGGTATCTAATGTATGTTCGTATCTGATAATGTATCTAGTTAGCTAGCTTGCTAACTGCTAGGTTAGCTCTCTGGCTAAGTGTCTGCAGTAAATGACACCAGTAATCTACACTTCGTGCAGCGCTGTGCTGTTCTAATGATCTGATATAACTGTGTTCAGTTTTGTGTTTCCAGTGTTTATGATTCTGAGTTACATTCAGCAACACTCAGCCAGCCAGTCGTCGGAGGCGAGCCTGTGAAGATCGAGTCGCTATGCTAACTGGGGGTCTGTAAGCTTCCATTACTTGTTAGCTGCATTAGCCTCGTAGCTCCAGTGCTGAAACCGAAGCTTCAGACACCGAACACGTCTCAGCTGACCGTCTGCGTTGGAGTGAGAAGGGAAAGCTGAGTGAATTTAGATTTCTGAGTGAACTGTCGCTTTAACCCTCTGGCTGACCCTCTGTTGTTGCGTTGCAGGCCGGGGTGCAGCATGCCGGAGATCTGGGACGTGGAGGACCCTCAGAACGCGGGGAAGACCCCCCTCTGTACGATGATGTCCAGAGATACTCGGCCGCACTTCAGCACCGTCTTTTACAACAGCGTTTACAAAGTGCTGAAAGTCCCCAAAGCGGCGCGGCCGTCCAGATAACAGCGCCGCGTCAGCATCTCTCAGCAGGCGCGAGCGCGTCTGAACGGCTACTGTTCGTTTTCTAAAGCTCGTCTTCTGTGAGAGCCGTTTATCCTCGGTGTGCGTTTGTTATGGTACCTGTAGCAGGTGTTTTACTGAGCGCGCTGCTCGACTGTGACTATTATTGATATTATTATTATTATTATTATTATTTTTAGCTGAAAGCTGACGGCCGTTCCTGCTGCTGCTCTTCCCCAGATCAGGACGTTCAATCCTCCGCTTTTTTCGCCTTCTTTCCGGAGTGGGAACGCGTTAGGATACAGCTTTGTGTGGAAGCTCATTCCCACCAAGCAGAGGAGAGAGAATACCCTGCGTCTCTCGCAGCAGCAGCACGTCTAACGCTTCACTCAGTTTCTCAAAATAATGACTTATTTTCTTAAAATGATCATTTCAGACAGTGACGAATCACATTACAATTATTACCTTCTTAAAATTTAGTAACTCATTATTTGAACAAAGTAAGTCAGGATGTTGAGAAAATCAATATTTCAACAAAGGAGATTAAAATTTGGGTGAGTAAGTCATTATTTTAGATGGACTGTGGTGTTGATGAGCTTCACCTTCAGCTAAACCTAATTAGCCTTAATTTTGGAGGGAACACTGTTTAATGCCGTTGTAGCAGGACACGCCCCTTTAAGGAGGAACAGGAGTGATTTTCTGGTCATTCGACTGTTTAATTTAATAGAAATGATGCAGAATCTGTTCAGTGTTTTCATCTCGTAGACTCAGGCTGGGTCCGTGGTGTGTGTGGTCACTCTCTGACCGTGCGTGTTTTTAGGAAGTCTGTAGTTCTGCATTATTTCCTGAGCGTTTGAAGGTCGACGCTCTGCATGGGGGTGAAGTTTGTTTCACAATCGGTCACTTCCTGTCAGCGTTTGCCTCGTTTCCTGTCCGTTACAGCTGGAGGTGGAAAAGGATGAGCAGCAGAAAAACTGCAGAAGTTCAGAAGAAGACAAACACACACGCACACACACACACACACACACACACAGAGATACAGATACACACACACACACACACACACACACACACACACACACACTCACACACAGAGATACAGATACACACATACAGATACACACACACACACACACACACACACACACACACCTACACACAGATACAGATACACACACACACACACACATACAGATACACACACACACAGATACAGATACACACACACACACACACACACAGATACAGATACACACACACACACACACACACACCTACACACAGATACAGATACACACACACACACATACAGATACACACACACACACACACAGATACAGATACACACACACACACACACAAACAAACACCTACACACACACACAGACACACACACACACAGATACATACAGATACACACACACACACACAGAGACACACACACAACCTCACATCCCGATCAGGATTAAAGTGTGAGTGAAAAAGGAAACTAGAATTCCAGTCAGAGCTCTTTTCACTGCTGAGTCTAGAACCTCCTCCTGCTGCACGTTCACCATCACAAACCACTGCTTTCAGTTTCCACACGTTCTAGACGTTCTAAACCATGAAACAGGAGCTGCTGCAGCTTCACTGAATCATTACTATAATCCAGTATTACACAGGTTCTAGATAAGTCTCTGTGGAACGTGTCATAGTCGTCATTATAAAGCTTCACAACTCTGAAACAGTAAATTATTGAAATAAAAAAAATCAAAACTTTCATATTTCATAACTCATTACCGTCCACCTGAAACGTTCCTTCAGTCTGTCGTTCTCTGAGCTGCTCGAGCACCGATCTGGAGAACTGTAGGTACCTCTTTAAAATAAGACTGACCTTATAAATGGTTTAAAATGAGTTTATCATTAATTAGTTCATAAACACCTCAGTCATTAATAAGCAGTTATAACACACTAATAAAACATGTTGTACACCAAAGCAGCCAATCACAGAACTTCTGAATCAGGTAATCAGCTGGAGCAGGTGTGGCACAGTGTGGGCGGAGCTACACTCCTAATAAAGATGGTTCTTCAAGGGTTCTTTAATAAAGACAGTGGTTCTATAAAGAACCAAAAACACCCAATGGGCCCTTTGCATGATTAAATGGTTCTCTGCATATTGAAAAGGTTCTTAAGATTAATGAAGAATGTGTTATGGTTCTATTGTTGTTACAAGCTAGACATCACAACAAAAGCAGAACCCTTTTGGTTTTATATAGAACCACAGCACAGTCCATCAATCCGAAGAACAATTTCATCATGCAAAGAACCTTTTAACCATGAAGTGGTTCTAGATAGAACGGGTGGTTCTAAATAGAACCATCACCTTTACTAAAGGACCTTTAAAGAACCATCTTTTTCAGAGCGTAGATCTCCAGGCCCAGGGTTGATGACCACTGGTGTCAGTGAATGTGGGTTCACTATTTGGCAAACCGGTCACTGTTGCCCTTTTATTTGTGTTATAAGTGCTTAATAATGATTTTAAAGTATTTATGATCCAACAACCACTGATAGACCATTAATAGCCTCATTATAAACCATTTATAAACCACTATGTAAATGTATAAAGGGGTTTAAATGTAGTCGTACAATAAAATGGTACAGACTTTTTAACCCAAACGGCTAAAATGTTTTTATCACTCTGATATTAAAAAAACAAACATATGCAAATTATTGATCATCAAAAGCAGATCAGTCGTGTCCTGATAGGTGTTCATACAAAGCGTCATCATTTTGGACCAATCAGGAGACGTTCTGTAGCATTTTTTTCACCATTAATGTAGCGGCTGGTCGTGAATGGGGTGACTGTAATGTATGCTAACGTAGCGGTCAGTCTGTCGGTCAGTTCATCATTAGATGTAAAGATCAGTTTTTAATAATTTACAACTGTAAATGAACAAAAACATTAAAATCAGACGAGATCAGATTTCTGAGGTTCTGAACTGACAGTGAGGATACATTTGGGCCTGATTAGCTTTATGCTAACACACGGCAGAGTGGACACAGACCAGACTGGCCTCAGGCTTGTCTGACCCAGTGCATCATGGGAAACGTGCCTCAGGCAGTAATCAGTGAAAGTCTTTAATCTGATGATAAACGTGTGAAGTGTAGAAATAAAATGAACCAGTTCAGTATTCTTACCCACAATGCAGTGCACCTGGTCATTAGTGTTGGCTTTATTATTAACGTCCTCACTGGAACTCAACCCGAAACTTCAGAGGGGAAAGTATTTTATGTGGAAATTTGATTTTGCTTGTTTTTTACTGTTTATTTTCAGTGTATTTTATGAATAAAGTTGTTTGTAATTTTGCAGTTTCCTATTTTTACTTACCTTACAAAAGTGCTGAGAGGCCATTTTATTAAATAAACCTACTGTTCACGTTCACCGGTCAGGCATGACATTCTGACCACCTCCTTGTTTCTACACTCATTGTCCATTTTATCAGCTCTACTTACTATATAGGTGCACTTTGTAGTTCAGTTACAGACTGTAGTCCATCTGTTTCTCTGATACTTTGTTAGCCCCCTTTTACCCTGTTCTTCAGTGGTCAGGACCCCCATGGACCCTCACAGAGCAGGAACTATTTGGGTGGTGGATCATTCTCAGCACTGCAGTAACACTGACGTGGTGGTGGTGTGTTAGTGTGTGTTGTGCTGGTCTGAGTGGATCAGACACAGCAGTGCTGCTGGAGTTTTTAAACACCTCAGTGTCACTGCTGGACTGAGAATAGTCCACCAACCAAAAATATCCAGCCAACAGCGTCCTGTGGGCAGCGTCCTGTGACCACTGATGAAGGACTAGAGGATGACCAACACAAACTGTGCAGTAGCAGATGAGCTATCGTCTCTGACTTTACATCTACAAGGTGGACTGACAAGGTAGGAGTGTCTAATAGAGTGGACAGTGAGTGGACACAGTGTTTAAAAACTCCAGCAGCACTGCTGTGTCTGATCCACTCGTACCAGCACAACACACACTAACATACCACCACCACGTCAGTGTTACTGCAGTGCTGAGTGATATATTCACATATAAAGATACTAATACTGCACTTGAATAAACTATTTTGTGAGGGTCCCCTCAGTTCCAGAGCTGCTGCTTATTGTTTATCAATGGAGAGTATCGGTCAGTGAGACCGAGTCCGACTTTATTAAAATTTTTTAATGATTTGGTGAAAACTGGTTAAGCAGCTCAAACGTCTCTGTTATGAATGAAGAAATTAACTCAAACAGCTGAGCTGAAAGCAGATGTGTGCAGATGTGAGGCTCACTGTGGTGGGAAAACCAACACAGCATATTATCATAATACTTTACATGCTAATATTGTATCGATACACCGACACCAAATATCAATATTTTTACTGTTATTTCAGTCATTTTAATGAATTTTAGTTTGCTTTTTTGATCTTACCCTCCTTTTGTTTTATTTATCTTCTTTGGATTTTAACTTTTACATCTTAGTTACACTTTGATTATTGTTTTATATTGTCCAGTTTTTTTAATATGTATTTTTATTATTGTTTCATTTTTTAAATACCTGATTTGAGTCATTTTTATTATTTGAGATGTTCTTCAACATTATCACTCCCTTTTTCCTGGATGATAAAATGGTTCTTCAGACTGATGGAAATGTGCTGTATGTGGTTCTACATGAAACCTTTTTGAAAATGGTTCTAAACAGCACCCAAAGGGGTTCTTTACCTGTGGCGAAGTCAGGCTTGTAACAACTGAAGAACCCTTTCGCCACTTAATCATACAAAGGGTTCTTCTGAGTGTTCATGGTTACAAACAGAACCTTCAACCCTTGAAGCACCATCTTTTTAAGCGTGCAGTGCTGGTGGTACCGTGTGACTGGGGGGGGTCCTGAATCAGACGCAGCGTCACTCAGATCTGCGCTGCTGTGATGAATCGGTGTCTCTGAGCTCGTGCGGTCGTGTCTGTGTGAAGGTCAGTGAGGAGACGCTGCTGAACAAATTCATCTTTATTGCTTTAACAATTTCAGAGACATTACAAAAAATAGTTCTTCACTTTCATCTAAATAATACATGTTTACTGAGTCTAAACTCGTCTGTCCTCTTCTGAGTATTTCTGCCTCGATTTGATCCGAAATCTGTAAAATAATCTGAGCTGAAATGAAGCGTTGAGTTTACAGGGTTTACAGGGTTTACAGGGTTTACAGGCCACAGCAGGTGAGGATATAAAGCACTTCAAACACTACGGCAGCAATACTTGTTCCGAGTCCCCGAGGGAAGACGCACTTAACAAAATAAAAGTCCTGTCTGATTCTCGCTACGACCTACAGGACTCAGCAACTGAATACAAAACTGATTTTCATCGTCAGGATCTGAAATATAATAATCTAATAATCATCTTTACGCTGAGGATGATGGGAACATGGCTAGTATAAACTTCGCAGCTCTCTCTTCTAACCTAACCTTTAAATACCTATTAATAATCTCTAATCAATAATTTAATTACAGTCCAAGATTGTACATCTCTAACTTTACAAAACTACAGATAATACAAATAAGACTTATTAAAACTAAGGATTTCAGATCATTTCTGGGCTTTTATGAACATCAGGCACAAAAACGGACTTGGTAAAAACCCCTGACCGCTGTGGCGTCCGTGCGCAGCGTGAAGCTGTGAGGTCACAGACTGAAGGCTCGTTTGGGCTGATGGGACGTGGACACGCGGTGAGAGGAGAGGTTCCTGAGATTCTAAATCAGCGGTCAGGAACCGTCTTCCTGGACGTCCAGCCAACAAGTTTCAGCTTTAACCTCTAATATAACACTTAGCTCTCCTGATACAGCTATCTAGAACATAAACAGAGCGACTCAGAGAGGTTTGGTGTGAAATGGTTCAGAGTTCTTTACAGTGGTGGTGATAGGGAACCAGGGGTCGCCATGACTACAACACAGATATAGACATTTTATTTACTATCCAGAACCACCAGTGAACCTACACGAGTCTTCTGGGTTTATATGGAATGGAATTTATTTTTTTATTTAACATCTTTATTTATACAGTGAGGGCCGGTTTCCCACCATGAATGCAGAATGTAAACATTATTCTATATTTCATAACCTCAGTCCGAATATGTAAACAGCCCATTTTTAATTTATTGTTTTTGTGACGTCACCAAGACCAACACATTTACACACATACGCCTTTTCTGCCTACAGCAGTTTAGCCCCGCCCACTCACACTGAAGTGTTTCAGCCTCAACTCCTTTTTGAATGAAGGCACAGCCAATCAGAACAGAGCTCATTTACACGTCTCAGTGTTAAAGGCACAGTAACAGAATCTGCGAGGCTGAAAACGTAGAAACACAAATGTTAAGTAAACTTTACAGATAAAACCAAAATGTAAGGAAAATGTAGGATACGGGCCCTTTAATCTCTTCAGACATCTGGTTCCTATCACCACCACTGTGAACAGTTCTGACTCAGTATATTTATCTAGAACAGAGCGTTTCACACCAAACCGCTCTGAAGGACTCTGTTTACGTCTGAATCGTTTAATGAACCGTTTAATTTATTAAATCGGTGTAAAACTACAGAAATAATCAACAGCAGCTCTGATCTGAAAACAACAGCTGAACCAGGCGTCAGCAGGTCAGCAGTTGTCCAGCAGCAGGGTTACTGACCGCTGCCATGAGTGGATTAAGTACAAGTGGAATACAGTAAGTATTAGGACTAAGTATCAGGACTAAGCATGTGATGGTTAAAGTACCTAAAGTGCAACACAATTACAGAGAAGAGACGAAATTGCAGACCAAAACTCCCTCCAGGCTTCCGGCCCGACATCCTCACCGCGACGCAGCTCCGAATAAATTAAACCATTAAACGATTAACGAACACTAACGAACCGGAAACTAACGAACACTAACGACACAGACTCAGTCCCACGGGCCGAGCGCTCCGCTGGACGTAAACTGGCTAACATGGCACTGAAGGTTTACAGCACTGCTCAGATATTTAAAGCGACAGGTCAGTGACCCCCCCCTCAGTCTACTGAGACGTGTTTGGTGTCTGAAGGTCGCTTCTTTAGTTTTAGCTCTGGAGCTATGAGACTAATGTAGATAATGAGTAACTTGGGGAACATATAACCGATTTTTCTGACCAATGGCGTAACGGTGATTTAAACGGTGATTTAAACTGTGATTTTTTAAGAACAGGCCTGTTATTTCGGGCAAGAACATCAGAAAATCCACCTTTTCCAGCTCGAGGCCTGAAGGCTGCCAGCTGCTGGTGGTTGTGATGTCACAGCACATTAGTGTTTTGCTTAATAATTAAAATTGCGATTGTGATATAAAACGATTCATCTCTCAGCCCTAAATCAACAGGCTAACCGCAGCGTAAATAACAACAAACTTGGCCCAAACCTGTTAGTAAATTTGCTCTGACCAGACTGTAACTGCTGCGCCGTTTAAGGTGGAACGGAAACTCTGAATAAGAAGCTGGTGAATGGAAATGACTCTACTGTTAAAATGTCCTGTTCCAGCTTAAATAGTGAAGCAGTTACATGTAAATGCTGCACCACTTAAGGTGGAGCAGAGAATCAGAATTAGAGTAATACTCTTTCCTGATAATTATCTTTATTTATAGAGCGCTGTTTATGCCGGTGGCAGCTCAAAGGGCTTTACAGACAGTGGATAACACTTAACAGCAAAACAAGTAATTATGAGTGCTAATTAAAAATCATAAAAAGAAAAATAAGGGGGGGTTGTTGACACTATTTGTCTGCCTCAGACCTAAATCATCACTCACTCGCCTCAAACCTAAAGAAGCACACTGTATTTTGGGGTAAAGCGGAGGAGACGGTGTAAATATGGTTATTTTGCTAATATATAAGCATGGAAACTGTTTATTTGTGTAAAAGTGCTCAAATATCTGGTGAATCTGCACCGTTTGGTTTAAACGACTCTTTGTACGCGTTTCTGCGTTAAAGCGTCTACATGGCATCGTACAGTCCAAACCCACAGTGAGCACAGTGCCTAAAACACGCCTTTAAAAATAAATAAAATAGTAACAATAATAATAATAATAAAAAATTATGATCAGACAGAGTCGCATTTCTCCCGTGATGCTGGTTCTAAATGAGACGGTACCTGTAAATTCACTCTCTGAGGCGTCTAAAGAGCTTTTAATGGAGTTTGATGTGCACTGGCTCTAAACAGTGAAACAACCAACCTGGACGAAGCTCCGCGGAAACGGTACCGTAAGAAAGATCACGCTAACCGAACAACGTCACTCTAAAACGTCTGCTGCCTTTTAATGACTTTTACAACAGAAATAAGAGGCGGGAAGTCGCAGCTTCCCTCAGACACTGAATTAAAATAAAGCGGTAAAAGGCAGAAGCGTATGAGTCTGAGTTTACAAAGTAAAAGTCCTGCCCCGATTCTGTATCGTCTATTTGATTTGGATCATCGATTCTGAGCTAAACAGCAAATGAAAAAATTCTGGGAGGACTTTTACTTTGTAAACGTGAACTATTCACCTCTGCTGAAAATGAAAAGAGAGCAGGTTGGTGTGCTAATAAAACAAAAACGTACAGGAGCGTGAACGGAATCTGTTGCCTGGTCTCATTCAGGTCCTCCTGCTTTTTGCCCACACTGAGGGTCAGCCAGGTGCTCGAGTGGACCAGCGGGGGGGCGCTCTCTCACCACCCCGCTATCATAACGACGTCTCCGTGTCCACGAACTTCTGTCCTTCTTCGTCTTCCACGCTGATCTGGATGCTAGCGCTCTTCTCGCTGTGAGAAACAGACGCTGTGATTAAACAGGTTTGAACCGTCAGCATCGTTTATTAATTTATTTACACTAATAAATTAATAACGCACGTTTGGGGACGACGAGCTTTTCAAAACGCTTTTAATAAACATTACATTTCCTAAATTAAATGGAGAGATTCTGATATTTGTCTTTGTGAAAAGCTTCAGGGGCACCAGACTAATGTCCACCTCCAAAGGTGGGAAAGCAGCCTGGCCCGAACAGAACCAACAGAACTTACGGTTCTAGGTCTAGTTCATCTCCCTCCGCTCAAGAGCGACAGCTGGAACCGTTATAATAACTGTGATTAATATTTTAATCATTTTATGTCACTCTAATGTGTCTAATTTGGCTAATTAGCTATGTTGCTTGCTAGTTAGCTTAGCTTACTGGCTAATATGAAGCGATACACTGCAGTTCTGCTCTGTCTGTCTGTAATTACACAGAATCAGATTTTTAATATAATGGATTTTTATTTGAAGACAAATTAAAATGAAGAGTCTAGAACTCATCCTGTGGCCTGAGCTCCATACGGACGAGCTGCTCTCATCAAACATGAACGGCCTAATCTAACAAGCTAGCGTATCTAGCTAACACAGTAAAACCTGGCTAGCTAACGTAGCTAATGATGCTCCATGTAGTGCTACATAACACATGCACAAGCTAACAGCTAATACAGTAGTGCAAGCTTTATAAAAATGTTGCACATTTAGTTATAATAGTATAATAGTTCTGTACAGTATGCAGTTATATATAGTTTACATATTTAAATCAGTTCTATTAGCCTATAATTAAGCTCTCAGACTTCCACTTTATTCTTACTGCACTTTATTTTTAGCACTGCACTTCTAATCTGTACGACTCTTAGTGTCTTATTCATGTTCATTTTCAATTTTATTTTTTATTAATTTTAAAATAAATTTAATTTATATTATATAATATATAGCCCTGTGATGGACTGGCGACCTGTCCAGGGTGTATCCTGCCTTCCGCCCAATGACAGCTGGGATAGGCTCCAGCACCCCACCGCGACCCAGAAGGATAAGCGGTTTAGATGATGTATGTATGTGTGTATATATATATATATATATATATATATATATATATATATATATATATATAAATAATATATATTATATATTAATTATTTTTATTTATTATTTTATTATTCCACTGTAAACAAAACTTAAACACTTTGTCTTTTATTAATCTGACTTTGCGCAGCCCTGCATTAAAACATTAAATTACATTTTTACCGATGCCTAAACCCTTAAATTCGGTTCAGACGACGCTGTGTCCCCAGACGTTTGATATTATAGATGATACTGTAAGGACATACAGAAAGATAGAAACTCTGATGTGAAACTTCTTAATCAGCCCAGATCAACAGGTCTGTGATGAAAGTTTGGTCGTCATAGCGACACTGTGGGTCTCCAGGCGATTAAGAGCGTTTACATCCAGAACACAGGGCCAGGCCGAACACACAGACATGCAGAACGCAGGAGAACGTGGAGACGAGGAGAGGAGGGAGGATGAAGAGGAGGAGGAGGAGGAGGATGAAGGTTAGAGGAGGTACCTGGCTCTGGCTTTCAGAGCTTTGGAACTGGCCACAGCTTTCCAAACGGAGGTTTTGGCCATTTCGTCAGTAATGTTGACCACAGACGGGTCAGCGCTGCAGGGGGGTCACAACACAGCACAGCTGGTCAGCACGGTCACACACTTACACACACATGCTTTAAACATTAAAGTGATAGTTCAGCTGAAAAATCAACATTACCCCAAATGTGCCTGAATTCCACCTTAAAGAGGTTTTAAAGAGGCTAATGTAGCTAACAAGCAATGGAAGTGTATACACCACCAATTAGCATGATGCTAACTGCATGACAATCATCACACACTCGCCTCAAACGTGTTAGTACAGTCGGGTTCCTATCGGCCAGCTTCAAATTTGAACTTTCCGTTCCACCTTAAATGGTGCAGCAGGTACATTCTGGCGCCTGAGGCCATTTAAGGTGGAACAGACAATTTCAACAGGAAGCCAGCTTAGCCTCCTGTCCTGAGCTGCAGTAACTGCTGCACCATTTAAGGTGGAACGAAAGATTCTAATAAGCTGAACAGGAAGCCAGTTTGAGCTTCGTGCCTCCAGCCGTGTGGAACTGCTGAGTAAATCTAACAGAGGAGAATCCAGATGTTCTCTATGTCAGTCGGCCGGAAAACAGACACGAAGAGTTTTACTGTACTCCTGTGTGATCCAGCTGACACGCCACTGTAATTACTGAAGAGCTTGGCTAATGCAGACAGTTTATGTATCATATACATATTTATACATATTCTATAAAATCTCATCTCATCTTTATCTTGTTTAACCGTCCAGCACTGAGTCAGTCACTTTAAACGGCCTTCAGACTTTAACCAGAGCGCAGGGACTGTTTACTGATTACATAATAAATATGTCTCTAAACATCAGAAGTGTTTACTCATGCAGATTTACAGAGAACACACACCTGCACACTTCACTGTTGATTTCCTTAATGTAGCATAATGGAAAAAAATAAATCATATAATAACTTTTGCACAAACTACATTTTCATTTTATGCCTCCAGTGTGTTAAATTCACTAAATAAACAGTAACTGTGCACTAAACTGTGCAGAAGCGTGTCTCAAAAAAATCACAAAAAAACATGGACCGGGGTGCCTAAACTTTTGCACATGACTGGGTTAACAGCAACCTACCTTTCAGTTCTTATGCTCTTAAAATGAAATATTAAAATGAATAAATGACAACACAAAAAACTATATGTACAGTTCAAATCAGAGGCTGGTGAATAAGAAGCTGACGTCCATGTTCGAGGCGAGTGTGTGATGACTCAGGCATGCAGTTAGCATCATGCTAACTGGTGGTGTATAAGCTCTAAAACTAAAGAAGCGAATTTCAGACACTGACACTTTTGAGTAATTTGACTTTTCAACAAACTCTCGCTTTAACAAACATTTTCCACACGTTCTTCCCCATCGCTGGTTCTCCGGTACACAACGTCTGACGGTTCTGTGAGTAAAGCAGCAGAACAACCTCAGACGCGTCCGTCTGCACCACAGCAGCGGCAGCGGAGTGAAATCCAGAGCCCAGAGGAAGCTCCTCATCAATAAACATCAATAAACATCACTAAACATCACTAATATATCATAATATTCACTGATAGAGTCCATTAATAATGACTGTCAGCTACAGCAGCTGGAGCCCCGCCTGTGACAGTCAGGAGAGAAATCAGAACAGCAGCCAGTGAACAAACTGAACACTGTGTTTCGTATCGTGATATTTGTGTATTTGTTACACGTCAAATGAACTCTGTACGTTCTGCGTTCTCTGTAACGGAACATGTTCTGTCCTGGTTAGCGCAGACTGAGCACCTCGGTAGAGAGCTAACAGACTAACGGGCTAACAGGCTGTTGGAGAAGGGTCTGTACGCAGATCTCATTCCCGAGGCTTACCTCTCCTGTGGCACCTGTCTGAGGCCCCAGAGAGAAGGTGGCACTGTTGCCATTATTGCCATCTAGTGTCGTGGGGTGGTACTGCAAGTAGAGTTTTCTGAATAAAATCGTTTTTAAAATGAGCGATTTTATAGTGTTGCTATTAAAACACTTAAGCCAGCATGTTATTATTAAGTCCAATAAGTAAACAAATACATGATTTTGTTGACAAAAGAGATGCTTTAAAAGTAAACAACTGAGAAAATAACGCTTGCTAGCAATCAAAACAGCTAGCTGGTTTTCTTAGTCTGAATGTTTTATAATAAATATAAACGTTGCCTAAACCCAGTCAAGCCTGATGGAGGTTCTGAGAACAGCCTCGGTAATACTGGCTGGGCAGTTCGCTAATCAACCATACCGATATTAGAATTCCACAAATATATATTTGTGTCGTGAGTTTGGTGTACGTCTAAATATACCACACAATCGTATCAAAAATACGAAAAAGAAAGTTGTTTTGCAGCTTTTATTTACTTTGCAGCTATTTTCGCTTGCTGTGTAGTTTCGCCATGTTGGATTTCTTTTAAAAACAATGTGACATCATCATCAGATATCCAGCCTGGCACTGTCGGGCTAACGGGCTAACAGACTCCAGAGACAGACTTCATTTTAAACCCTTCCTGAACGAGTTGCTGTACAACTGAACAGAAACGTGCAGATTTATAAAGTATGTTAAACATTTGAAATGTCTGTATTTAAACTAGAGATGCCATAAAATGTAAACATACAGCACTTCTAGCTTGATGCTAATATAATTAATATAAATAATAATATAAAGGAACTCCACAGACATGCATTTCAGAAATTGGCATCATGCTGAAGGTAAAGGGTTAAAACGGCTGTTTAGAAGGTGAGTGTTGAACTTTCTGCGTTAAACATCACTATTTAATGAACTCTGACTTTCATGATTCGATCTGATTTTCAGATTAAATTAAAGTAACAGCCTTTTATCCATCTAGATTTCAGCTCCTGTATTTGAGCTCCGCTCTGCTGGACACTGAGAGCCATTAAAGGGCAGATCAGCTGCATGCGGTCAGGCTGAGACGGTTAGAGAACAGCCTCGCCAGCGTTAATCACACCGAGAATCAACATCAACAACATCACAGCAGTTCAGTCAGAGCTGTGGGGTAAACGAGAGACCAACCGCTCCTCTGGGCTCCTCATCATACGAGGTGTCGGAGGCTACGCTGTCCGATCTGTCCGAGAGAAACAGCCCAGATAAGACTCTCAAACACACAATAAAGAAATACCCGAGAGTTTAGTCCTGATCTCAGCTGGGTCTGTGGAACACGGCCGACTAGAACAGACGGAAACTTCAACACGTTTATCTGAGATCAGAGAACAGAAACCTGCTGACTGTGAACTCCAATGATGGGAGTCGATGGGCAGATGCAGAGAGAACGACTTAAAGGGCCAATATCACACTTTCTCTGACGTTTATGTTGTTTTATGTACCAAAATCAGTCATTTCTACATTTACATGTTCCAGCCTCTGCTGTAGGTTGAGCAGATGTATATATTTAAATATACGTTATTTTTTGTGACATCACAGACACAGTGAATTCAAAACAGGCTGTTTTGTGCGGGTTAGTTTCCACGTGTGGGCTGTAAGTACTGAGGAGTGAACAGCATGTCTTAAACAATGTTTCCACACTGAGTTGAGTTTTAGTTGAGTTTATTTTTTTCTAATTTTTATTCCAATAATTTCATTTGGCTGATCAAATTCTTAATTTCTTTATTTGATCTTAATTTTATTACTGATTAAATTTATTTTTTTACAGTCCTTCTACTTGATATTTTCACATTTTAGTTTGCCTTATTTTTCCTTTTATGCTGAAATGTATTAATTGGTTTTAACCACTGTATCTTTTGATATGTTTGATTTTACTGTTGATTTGTCCTTTTGTTCTGTTCATTTAATCTTTTTAAACTGATTAAATTCCATTTTATTTTATTTTCATCCCTTTGTGTTGTAAATGTTCGGTTGTACTGAAAATAAGGGTTACCCTCAGCAGATTTCTGAGTGAAAATAAAGGTTGACTGATTGACTGATACGACACCAATCTCTTGAATGAGGCGATATGGGCCCTTTAAAGCTGTGCTTATGAAGTTGAATCGAATTTATAACACAAGTTCAGATAAACATGTTGAAGCCATCTGTGATAATCAACCGTAAACTACAGACACACCAGACACAGCCCAGAGTCCGTATTACAGAAACTTCTTAACTCTGAAATCTGATGTGTTTGGTCTCCATGACAACTGAATTCAGGACAGTATCTATTCCAGAATAACAGTTCCTACCTTCATAATCTCATCATGAACTCCAGATAAGAAAACAGCATCACACAAACATCCTAACTAGACTAAACCTCCTAAATCCTGTCCTAACTTTAGGATGAACCCCAACAGGGTCCTCACTTCTGTTTAAGGTCCGTTTCTATGGTTTTTAGGCAGCTGAGTCAGCAGCATAGTTCACTACCAGCATAATGAGCTCCATTTATTCCTACTGTAAAACGCTGCTTTCACTGTGAGATGATTTTCTTTTCTAACTCTGCGTTTTAAAGATCTCAGACGCTGCAGACTCGATCTCCACCGCCCCTCTGATCACCTTCGTGTGTTAATGTTGATGATGAAATATTACAGTGATGGTGGTGAATAATGAGGAGACGGAGCTGAACGTGTGTCTGTTTATTAGGAGGAGTAACGTTAGCGCGCTCGGCTAAAGCGTTTGGGAAATGGAGACTGAAACTGGGGAGCGGCGACGCTCTGATAAACAGCAGGGGGCGCTCTCACAGTATTCACAGCTTACAGTTTATCACACTTTAGTTCTGCTTGAGCTTTGATTACGTGTTTTCGTTTGAGCTGTGTGTGTTTGGTCAGTTGCTAAACAGACAAGACAACTTTGAGTAGTTTAAGATTTCCTAACTGGTGATAAGATGCTGTAAGATCAGACCAAATTCCATAATAAGATCAGATTTGATTCTGTAATACGAATTTGTGTAATATATTGTGAATATTTGTGTAAAGTTTCATCCGACCTGTCAGATCTTAAGATTAAATGATAAGATGTTTCTGTAATACGACTCCTGGGTAATAAATCTCTGGAGGTTTTCTGTAAATGAAGATCTGGGAGAGACACAGAGTTTTGGTTACCATGGAAACAAACAGACGAGAAGAGTTACTGACCTGACTTTGAGGGTTTTGAGGCTGAGGAGATTTTCTCCGTCGTACTCCAGACCCTGCTCCGCGTCCAGCATCCGCTCGGCCTCCTGGGAATAAAATAAAACACAAATCTGAATAAATCATCCACAAAAACAGCAAAAATCTGAGGAAATACAGAAGATCCTGCGTGTGACGGTGAGGAGAAACTCAGTCTCTTCATCAGAGAGTTCACATAATCCCACTCAGTGCAAAATCTAAACAACACAGACACACAGAAATCTGTATAATAACATACAATATTCATTCAGCTGTATAATAATATACAATGTAAATGAATCTGTATAATAATGTAGAATATCGTTGGGATAAAACTTCGCATCTCCATTTTTGTTGTTTTTGGACCAACAGAAAGGCTCCAAAATAAATTGGAATAAATAATTTCTCCATTAACTTTTATTCAAGGTTAAGAACATTTTTTCTTTTGTAAAGTTTCCATTTCAGAGATAAACAGTTTAAAACTGTATAATAATATATAGTCTGTATGACTTTATAGAATAACGTATATATATATACATATATATATATATATTCCATGTTTATTGTATCCTGTGGCTCAGTATCAGTGAAACCAGTGCATACTGAGTTATTGATCAGTGATACGAGTGAGGAACTGAGGTCAGCAGCAGCTCCTGTATGTTTAAAGTACATGTTCAGCATCAGCAGAGTGAATGTATACGTTACAGACGCGCCGCTGCTGAACTGTACGCTGATCAATAATCCAGAGTCCACTCTGAACCAGCTCTGAGCCGGCGTGCAGCTCCACAGAGCAACAGGGCGGGCAGGTGGGGTTAAAGGTCACCCTGCACACACCTCCTTCTCCTTCTTCTTCTTGTCGTCCTCCTTCTTCTTCTTACTCTCTGGCATCAGATCATCCAGCCAGCTCAACTCGCGCTTCGTAAAGCAGAAGTCCAGAAGCTTCCGCACGAACACCAGAGCCAGAACCTAGAACAGAGGAACACAGAGAACCAACACAGAACCATTAAACATACAGAAACAGTTCACTGTGTCAGTGGAGCCCTCAAGGAAGTGTGAAACATAACAGCACCACATTTCATTTCACATGTATATTTTAAGTCTTCCTGTTTTGACTCCAGGCTCTCACTTCATTTTTTATTTTAAGTTGATGGGTGTGTGTATATATATATATATATATATATATGGTGTGTATATAACCAAAAACATCCAGCCAACAGCGTCCTGTGGGCAGCGTCCTGTGACCACTGATGAAGGACTAGAGGATGACCAACACAAACTGTGCAGCAGCAGATGAGCTATCGTCTCTGACTTTACATCTACAAGGTGGACTGACAAGGTAGGAGTGTCTAATAGAGTGGACAGTGAGTGGCCACAGTGTTCAAAACTCCAGCAGCACAGCTGTGTCTGATCCACTCAGACCAGCACAATGCGCCTTTTTCCTGAAGAGAATAATACACTGTAAAAACAATCATTTTAAAGCTGCACTGTGTAAGATGTGGGGATTTGGAGACCTCTCTGATGTAAATGTGTAACTGCACACAACATGAAGAGCCTTTTCATACAAAGCCCCCCAACTTTGGAATAGCCCACCAGTCTGTGTTCGGGACTCAGACACAGCCTCCATCTTTAAGTCTAGGCTAAACCTGTTTAGTCGAGCCTTTGGTTAATTTGTTTTACCTAACTATGTCCCTCTTATAAATGAATTATACATTTTTGTTAGGACAAAGTACAGAACATATGAACAAATTAACATACATGACATGAGCTAGACTACGTTTCTGTGTCATATATGGGTCTTACATTCACTTACATGCTATATTTTCTCATGACTGAAAGAGAACTCAGTCTAAACTGAAGGAGCGTCTCTGAGGACGAGAGTGAATTATCTACTACTGTCATCACATCTTCATCAGTGTGATGGTGATTCTGAGATCATTTGAGGCCGAAACATCGAGCCGGACCTCCTTTTCGAGTCTCTGTGTGACGTTAATACGTAAAGACGTACGACGTGGTGGGAAAAACTCGACGCCTCTGACTTTTGAACGGTTATTTTAGACTTTACAGGCGACTCTCAGCAAAACACACTCAACATATTTTAGCCTGTTTATGTTCTCCTCACTCAGAAACGACTCTACTTTCAGTTTTAACAACAAACATCTTACATAGTGCAGCTTTAGTTACGGCAGGCAGGGCCTGATTACCATCATGGGGAAGATCACAGCAGCAGCCGACACTTTGATGACCCACAGCAGGACGAGGCAGGTCAGCTGAACAATGGTGAACACGTGAACCTTCCACAGAGGCACATAGCGCAGATAGATCAGATCCGGCTGGTGCTTCGCTGGCATCCCGAACAGCTTTATCCGGTCAAAGAACTGCAGAGAGATCAGAACAACAATATTATTGTTACCCATTTATACAGCAGCTGAACAGACACGTCAGAAAATAGACTGAGGACTGTTTATTACTAATAATTCTGTTAGAAAATACTAGAAACAGAGAACATTTACAAAAGAACACATAACAAAAACAGTACAATGTACACACTTACAAATCATGGTTCTTCAAAGGTTCTTTAGTAAAGAAAATGGTTCTATAAAGAACCATCCATCCATCCATCATCTAAACCGCTTATCCTTCTGGGTCGCGGTGGGGTGCTGGAGCCCATCCCAGCTGTCATTGGGCGGAAGGCTCTATAAAGAACCATGAACACTCAAATAACCCTTTGCATGACGAAAGGGTTCTTTGGATCATGAAAGGGTTCTTCCGATTGAGGGAGAATGTGCTGTAGGGGTTCTATGTAGCACCAAAAAGGGTTCTTCTATTGTTATGATGTCAAGCTTGTTACAACAGAAGAAACACACAGAACCATATACAGCACATTCTCCATCAGTCTGAAGAACCCTTTCATGAAGCAAAGAACCATTTAATCAGGTGTAGGATTCTCTGAGTGTTCATGGTTCTATATAGAACCATTTTCTTTACTAAAGAACCCTTGAAGAATCATCCTTTTGTAAGTGTGTAAGAGTTATAAAAAAAGAAGTCAATAAAATAAAGTGAAAATAATTAATACCTTTATATTATAAAAACCTATCTGCTCAACACAGTCACAGTTAATACTGGCGATAATAAAAGCACATTATTATTTTATATTAATTATTTCTGACTCAGTTACAGAAACAGGTGGAGAAACTGCAAATTGCAGATTGTAAACTTTCAAGCTCAAACCACATCAGAGCCTCAGAGGAGAAGAGAGATTTATTAGTTTATTATTAGTTTATTAGAGTTGATTATGATGTGAATGTGACGAAGTCATGAAGCTGTATCTCAGGAGAGTCCGACTCCAGTCCTGCAGGTCCTCACCTGCTCTACCACACCTGATTCAGCTCAGCGCTCTGTGTCTGTGCTGTTAAACCGGAGCTGAGCAGCTTCACTGTCTGCTCTTATTTTTTAACAGTGAGTCAAACAGAAAAACAGTGCCGACTCAAACCTGAGCACACAGAATGTTAATGTAATTAACTGCGTAATTAGTGTAATTAGTGTTTACCTGAATTCCTTTGAGAGAGGAGACGCCCATGTAGAGGAAAACGCCATACAGCACCGGCATGGGGATGAACTGAGGACACAACAACACAGAGTTAAATAGGCTGCTTGTATATGACGTCACACGGAGGGCAGGAAGTGACGTTCTACATTTGCTGTCATGAGCTCTCAAAACACCTGTAGTTTCGGTTGTTTATGGTGCTCAAACCAATCTGAGAAACCAGAAAGGAAGAGATCTGAGAGGGACTATTTTTCAGAATGGTTTGTCCTGCGCAGCTCAGTCAAGGCATCCAGTATTTACACAGTCTAATCACAAACACATTATCCTCTGCTGAAATAACAGGTCAGTCGTGGTCGTCAGGCTCACTGTGAGTAACTTCACCAAACGCCATTTACTCACCATTAAACCACAGAGCGGTTAGTTTTGGTGTTCTGCTGGGCAGCTGTGGCCGTCGGACTGAAGGCTCCGCCTCTGTGAGCTGCGAGAATCTGTGTGTTGTTGATCGGCTGCTTTACAGCTCTGTAGAACGACTTCATTCATTTTAGCTGTTTTATTGTTATCGTTTATATAGTTTATATATGATTTAGTGATCGTTCTACTTTATTCTGTTCATTAATCTGCAGGGTTTCTCTTCATGCATGCTTCGTCCCGCTCCCGTCTGCAGGGGGCTGGTTTCCCGCCCGCTCCAGGGCACAGCACTGAAAATTAAGGTATTATAATAATAAATGTGCCCTGTGATGGACTGGAGACCTGTCCAGGGTGTGTCCTGCCTTCCGCCCAATGACAGCTGGGATAGGCTCCAGCACCCCACCCAGAAGGATAAGCGGTTTAGATGATGGATGGATGGATGGATGGAATAATAAATGCTGCACCATTTAAGGCGGAACGGGAAAATTCAAACCAGAGGCCAGTTCAGCCTGGTAAAGTTGGGCCTCCACACTCTGCTTTCATTTGTGTTCTTGAGTAGCAGGACGTCTGGAGGACGAGGTGGCTGCTCATGTCTGCCGCCTCGATAGCAGGGGAGTCTTTCAGTTCAGCTGAAAAATCGCTGCATACGCTGTGACTCTCTGTTCATATCTTTTCTCTCGTGGTGTCTAAACTAGCGCAGTGCGGGTTCGTCTCCATCTCTCCATCTTGCTCTTCATTCCTGCCCTCCATCTGGATTTCACACATCATCAGAATCACATGACTGCAAACAACCTATTAATGAACCTTTACGCTATGCTAACAGGACCCTACTGACTTTCATTCACTGTTAGCAACGTTAGCATTACTGTTTTAGTCAAAGATCGTCTGCTCATCAGAAAAGATGAAAAGACAGTCAGAACAGTCTAATAATACACAACGTCTCATCACTGCAGAGGAGAAACAAAGGTTTAGTTCAGAGAGACTTTCCTGCTGGTGTGAGCAGAACTCGAGTCTCTGTTGTCTGTATAAAGGGCGAACGAGTCCCAGCTCTCAATATTTTACAGCTCTCGCCACATGAATGCTCTCTGGTCTCATCTTAGAAGTGAGAACAGAAATAATAATAATAATAATAATAATAATAATAATAAAATATACTTCAAAATTTGGATTAAATCAAACAAACCAAAAACAGACTAAAACAAAACTAGAATTTTGAAGTGTGAGGCAGCTTATTGTGGGATTTTAGAGTTTTACGTGGTTTGTGAGCTCCAGCTGCTCTTTACGCTGCGTTAACGGTTCATTATAGACCAGCGGAGAGTCGTTAAGTTACATTTATACGTCTCATTAAAAGCTCGTTACAGTTTTAGAGGCTTTTCCTCCGACAGTGATGATGATGATGATGATGATGGTGTGTACACATGTGTGAGGGTCTGACCTTGAGTACAGAGGTCATGAAGACCGACAGGCCCATGAGGATGAAGATCATGAGGCCGGTGACGCGCTGCTCACGGATGCCGAGGAATTTGGGCTGCTCTCCGGGGGCGGAGCATTCCGACTCTACCTTCAGGCTGTTGACGTGGGAGATGGAGAGAACGGTCGCGGCCACGAACCACGGCAGACCCATCAAAGAGCAGACGCCCAGCATCACCGCCACCACCAGCAGGTCCAGGTGATACCCACAGCCTTTCTGTTACACAATCCCACAGAATAACCCATATAATCCCACAGAATAACACATATAATCCTACAGAATATCATATAATCCCACAGAATACACCATATAATCCCACAGAATAACACATATAATCCCTACAGAATATCATATAATCCCACAGAATAGACCATATAATCCCACAGAATATCATATAATCCTACAGAATAGACCATATAATCCCACAGAATATCATATAATCCTACAGAATAACACATATAATCCCAGACAATACACCATATAATCCCACAGAATATCATATAATCCCACAGAATACACATATAATCCTACAGAATAGACCATATAATCCCACAGAATACACCATATAATCCCACACAATACACCATATAATCCCACAGAATACACCATATAATCCCACACAATACACCATATAATCCCACAGAATAACACATATAATCCTACAGAATATCATATAATCCTACAGAATACACCATATAATCCAACAGAATATCATATAATCCTACAGAATATCATATAATCATATAATACACCATAATATCATATAATACACCATATAATCCCACACAATACACCATATAATCCCACAGAATACACCATATAATCCCACACAATACACCATATAATCCCACAGAATAACACATATAATCCTACAGAATATCATATAATCCTACAGAATACACCATATAATCCTACAGAATACACCATATAATCCAACAGAATATCATATAATCCCACAGAATAGACCATATAATCCCACAGAATATCATATAATCCTACAGAATATCATATAATCCCACAGAATAGACCATATAATCCCACAGAATATCATATAATCCTACAGAATAACACATATAATCCCACACAACACACCATATAATCCAACAGAATAACACATATAATCCTACAGAATAGACCATATAATCCTACAGAATAACACATATAATCCCACACAATACACCATATAATCCAACAGAATAACACACATAATCCTACAGAATAACACATATAATCCTACAGAATAACACATATAATCCTACAGAATAGACCATATAATCCTACAGAATAACACATATAATCCCACACAATACACCATATAATCCAACAGAATAACACATATAATCCCACACAATACACCATATAATCCCACAGAATAGACCATATATCCCACACAATACACCATATAATCCCACACAATAGACCATATAATCCTACAGAATAGACCATATAATCCCACAGAATAACACATATAATCCCACAGAATAACACATATAATCCCACACATCCCTGAATGTTCCACACAGTCACCCCTGAGTCTGTGCTGTCATACTGATCTGTACAGTAACTGATCTGTTTATTACGTATTATTTTAAGAAAGATCTGAGATCTGAAGTTTGTGACCTTCAGTTTGTGCTCTTTGCGGTTGATGATGACGGCGGTGATCTGCTGGTCCATGAAGATGAGGATGGTGCAGAGCAGAGCAGGAATGGCTGCAGCGAACAGCGTCCAGGTGGGGTTAGTGCCCAGAGGGGACATCAACCAGCCGCGGCCTTTAGAGGTGGGCTGAGGATCACAGACAAAGTGACATCACACATCGGTCAGAGCGGCACAATCGACAAACAACAAACACGTCACTGTTACACGGCAGAGAAGAAAGAGTGACCAACAGGGGACGAGGACAGAATCTAAATACAGCACATGACCGACAGATCAGGGAGTTCAATCAGATTTGATCATAATCAATATAAAACGCCACACAGTCAGTGATGTTATGGTGTAACTGGCAAAATCTAAATAATGTCTTTTAAAATAAGTGTCAACAAAACTGACTCAGGACGTCCCCAGTCCTGACGAATTGATCTAAATGAGTGGATCTGAACAGATTTTGTAATGTGAGAATCGATTATAATCAATTATAATAATTATAATTCAGTAAAATATGCCCTAATTAAGATTTTGTCATGACCTGAACTGACCATTGTTTATTCAAAACATGCAACAACAAAATAGGCACTGATTACTTATTCAAAAATAATAAAATAATATAAAAAAATAAAATAATTCAAAATAAAAATAAATTGTTTGAGGTAGGTTTTTAAAACTGCCTATTTTAAACCACCCATAGATTGTTGTTGGGGGTCAGAATGCACATTATGTTGCAATGCATGCTGGGGACTGTAGTTCATCTCAGGGTGAAACAGGCTAATAAGAACAGAAAATTAAAATGATTAAATAACTCCGAGGGCTGAACAGGGCTGTCACGGGCCTGACTTGGCCCGCAGGCCTTGTGTTCGACACATGGGGTCTAAATTCTACTACGATTCATAACGGAGTGAATCGTTTCCTAAGGAATCGTAATCAAGCCGAATCGTTCGGAGCTCCACGCTGAACCGGTACGAGCCGACGCTCCTGCTGAGATCAGCACTATCGACGTCCTGCTTTATCAGAGATTCAGAGCAAACACAGATCTTGGGGGTCGCGAGTCCAAACGGCCAAAAATAAACAGGTTTACAGATCTGACCAGCAGAACAGACACGTCCTCACACGGAGGCCCTCAGAGAGCGAGAAGGACGAATAACGTCTACCTCAAACGTGTCCGGGACGTTGAGTTTGGGGGACGGAATCCCCACCAGATAATCCACCACCACCATGATCATGATGGTGAGAAAGACCGCGAAGTCGCTGATGGTGGAGCGAACCTGCAGAGAGAGAGAGAGAGAGAGAGAGAGAGAGAGAGAGAGAGAGAGAGAGAGAGAGAGAGGGGGGGTGGTTAAAAGTCAGGGGGCGGTGTGTGTGTTTGTGTGTGTGTTTGTGACAGGTGGGTTTACTGACCCGAGTGGGGAAGTAGCGCTTGGTCTTAAACTGTTTCAGGAAGGAGGAGAGGAAGAAGGTGGTGAAGAAGAGAATAACGGACCAGAAGAGAACGTCAGGGATGAAGGGTCCGTCATGGGCACACGCCGGACCCTCAAACACACCATGCAGTTTATGGCACATCTACACTCCACCAGAGAGAGAGAGAGGAGAGAGAGAGAGAGAGGAGAGAGAGAGAGAGAGAGAGAGAGAGAGGAGAGAGAGAGAGAGGAGGAGAGAGAGAGGAGAGAGAGAGAGAGAGAGAGAGAGAGAGAGAGAGAGAGAGAGAGAGAGAGCATAAGTTACATTATTCACAAAAACAGAGCATCTACAGTAACAGTGTTCACAGCATTAAACATATTATACATATTATAACCAAACTGTCCTCCCTTCACTGAAACTAAAGCATCTGATGCTTGATAAACAATGTAAAACTTTCACTATCCAGTACAGCAGTTTAGCCCCGCCCACTCACCCTGACATTTAAAGGAGTGTTTCAGCTTGGACTGCTTTTTCAAATGAGGTACAACACCGGGAAGGCAATCAAAACAGAGCTCATTTAAATGATAATAATAATAATAATAATAATAACAAAAATAAATAATAATTGCTAACTATTCATGTCACATATGACGGCTTAGTCAACAAAATTAAGTGTGAAAAAATTGTGTTAATTGTGAAAAATATAACACACAGTCACTCTGACAGACTGTAATACACTACAGGAAGTGTAGGGGGCGATATGGCTTCTACTGTTTCATTTAAAAGCCTCTATAATGTTCATCTGATCCACACAGTCACTCTGACAGACTGTAATACACTACAGGAAGTGTAGGGGGCGATATGGCTTCTACTGTTTCATTTAAAAAGCCTCTATAATGTTCATATGATCCACACAGTCACTCTGACAGACTGTAATACACTACAGGAAGTGTAGGGGGCGATATGGCTTCTACTGTTTCATTTAAAAAGCTCTATAATGTTCATATGATCCACACAGTCACTCTGACAGACTGTAATACACTACAGGAAGTGTAGGGGGCGATATGGCTTCTACTGTTTCATTTAAAAAGCCTCTATAATGTTCATATGATCCACACAGTCACTCTGACAGACTGTAATACACTACAGGAAGTGTAGGGGGCGATATGGCTTCTACTGTTTCATTTAAAAAGCCTCTATAATGTTCATATGATCCACACAGTCACTCTGACAGACTGTAGTTCACACACTTACAGTGACGTTCAGTTGGCTCCAGTTTATGGATTCTGGAGTGAAGCCGGTCTGATTCCACCTGTGTATGAGCTCATGTGTGGTGTTGGCAGGTGGAGCGCACTGGCACCTGAGACAGAGAGAACAACACACTGAGCACAAAGGTTTTCCTTAAATAATAACGTTATTAATATTGATATTATTGTTTACAGAGCTTAACAACAGACTACAGCACTGGCTACATCAGCCTCGTAGCTCCAGAGCTAAAACTACACAAGCAAACTTCAGACATCAAACACGTCTGATCAGCCACATCTGGGGCCGTCTGTCTGATCTGTGGCGTTAATGTGACAGTGTGCGGTGAGAGGACGGTGCTGACGTGTAGAAGGTGAGGTTGTCCAGCTGGTTGCGCATGTTGATGGGGAACATCTCTCCCAGGTGGAAGAGCTTCTCCAAGGCCTCGTAGATGAAGATGATGCAGATCAGTGCAGCGAAGGCCTCCTCCGTGAAGCGCGTGATGTAGCACACCAGAGAACTCGCATCCGTGGCGACCAGCACCACGCACAGCAGGGCCGTCCACAGTCCGATACTGGTGCGCAGATTGAGGTAGGACAGGCCGTAATCTCTGCAGGACAAACACACAGCTTAGTTTTTACGTCTAATCAGGACATAAAACAGGACGTAAGGATAAATATATATATAAAAGAAACGATGACTCATGGAGTCGTTTAGCCCCGCCCATTCAGTCCACAGCAGTTTAGCCCCACCCACTCAACAGTTTAGCCCCACCCATTCAGTCCACAGCAGTTTAGCCCTGCCCGATCAGTCCACAGCAGCGGAATATACTATTAGAGAAAATGCAGGTTATGGTCTCTTTAAAGGTTCATTCATCAGGTTAAAGATCCAGTCTACCCAGAAATGCTATATCATCTATAATGTTATTGATTAAGTGATTGAAGTGATTGATTATGTAATACAGTTATGTCAGTGTGAGTCTGCAGGGGAACAAAGTCAATCTGCTGATGTTTGATCTGTCTTGAGGGGGGGTCGTGGGGGGTGCGTGTTGTGTATATAAGCTCAGTTCTGACGATCTTACATGCTCGGTGTGTGTGAGCGGAGCTGAACGATGGATGTGCGGTGTGTGTGTGTGCTGCTGGTGCTGCTGGTGTCCGCTGATGCTCAGGAGAGCACAGCGCCCCCCGCTGGCCTGGAGGTGATCCACAATGAACTACAGCAGCTCCGGAACATCACTCAGGGTAACAGAACATTCACAAAAGAAGCCGACTTGGAACAACACTAGTGAAGTTGGTTTCCTGTTCACCAGTTTGATTTCCTGTTTCACCTTAAATGGTGCAGTAAATGCCGTGTGTGTGTCTGTGTGCGTGTACAGAGCAGGCTGTGGAGCTGACCGCTCTGAGGAGCAGACTGGACGCTGCAGAACAGCAGCTGAAGGCTCAGAGAGGTCAGTGTGTGCTGTTTATTGTGTCTGAGCTTGTAGTGACTCACACTAATTCACTTTAAACTGAAGAGAAACAAAACACTGTTATGAAAACTAAACCCTGTTTCTGTATCAGATTTAAACTCAGTTTAAACTCTCACACTGGCTCTTGTTCATCAAAGCTGAGGACAGTCAAACCTGATCAATCTCGCCGACAGTTTTGTTATTGATCAGCTTCATCTTCGCCGTATCTGTATGATGAAACTCATGTCCAGTAGCAGTGAGTACATTTGAGCGTAAACATTTCACAACCTGAAAAAATGCATGATTTGAGATTAACTGACCCAAACTATTATAAATATCACCAATAATAAGAATAAAACTAGAAAACAATAACGCTAATAATCCTCTGCAGCACCAAAGTGGACGTGCTGACTTTACATGCACATCGGTGTAAACAAAATTCCATATTTGATTTAAAGACGTATTATACTGTGCTAATACACAGCTAGAGTCGTACGGTGCAATCATAGTGTTTAAACATGAATTTTTACACTAAATCACATCTTCCCACCGTGTTAAAAACACAGACGTTTGGTTTGTTTTTTATTTTATTAATAATTTTAACACTATGAAGTTTGGTCAGTATGGGGGGCTGTGCACTCACTGACCTCAAACTCTGCCTACGAGCTCAGCCATTGGCTCACAAGCTGCTGAATGCTGTTGTTTTTTGGCTCCCTACCAAAACATGCATGACGTAGGGCGTGCTTCATGTAAACGATATGTAAATGAGGTGCTGATAGGCTGGCACTTGATTTCACGCACTGAAGCTGACTGCGTTCGTCTCCACGCCGTACGAACGTTTCATAGAAGGTTCGTACATTGGCTGCTTAAAAAAAGCACAGATTTGAACAGTCAAGTCAACTTTGATGAATAAGTTTATGAAGTAAATGAGACTGTGTCAGTATAAACACACACTAAAGTGAGACATTTATAACACTGTAATAAAGCATCAGTCTCACGCTAACGCGTTTATAAGGCCCAGATAAAAACACAATATACCTGTTTCACAAAAGATGAACGTGACACGAGAAACTGCCCATGAAAATGATCACTGTATAGTCTGAGAACATCAAAGCGTTTAACAGAACTGTGTGGTGTTTTTAATACATTATTCAGAGCTTCTGTCTGATGAAGTTTCTATGTGGGGCCTGTGACTCAGCACGGTGTGCTGTGTGCTGAACGCTGTTTACTGTAGAATATGATGCTCTAATCTGCTGTTTTTGTGCGTTAGAGGCTCCTAAAGTGGCGTTTGCTGTCTCTCTGGGCAGCGACGGACTCGTCTCCACCAAGAACTCACACAAAAAACTCATCTATAAAGACGTCCTGACCAACATCGGCAACGCTTACAGCCCAGAGACAGGTATCACTGACACACACACGCACACACACACACACACACACACAGCACGAACACACACAGAGCACACACATCAGTCTGTGCTAAACTGTGTATTACATGTAGAACGTGTTCTCCTGTGCTGTAGGTGTGTTTAAAGCCCCGGTGAGGGGTGTGTATTATATCCGCTACACCGCTACAGCGCCCACCGAAGGCCTGATGAGCGCGGTGCTGTATAAGAACGGCGAGATCCAGTTGACTGTGCACGAGCCGCCAGCCGGACCGGGCAGCGACACCGCATCCAACGGCGCCGCCCTGCTGTTAGAGCAGGGAGACGAGCTCTACATGCAGCTGTGGCCGAACTCACACCTGTGGGACAACGCCAGCCACCATAGCACCTTCAGCGGCTTCCTGCTCTACACCATGTGACCCCACAGAATTCTGGGATGTGGAGTCCACCAAGTCCTGCATGCTCTCCTGATCCATCAGCTCATTAAAGAGCTCTGAGTTTATGTTCAGATCTGATCTTTCTGCCTTCACAGATCCAGATGTGTCATCAGTGTGAACACAGCTGCTTCCTGAAAATGCCCACACACTTACAGACCTGCGAGGACCCAACAGGCCCTGGTTAATAACGCCTGTTAGGATCTCTATGGAGAAAATGAACAGTGTTTCAGAAAGTCACCGCTCTCTCACCCTGCAGAGCGAAACCACTCTAAACCTGATACGATCTGTCCTACGTACGTTTTCGCCCTCTGAATTATGAGGCTTTTAAAACTGCTGCATAAACAGTGGGGTCTAAAGTCTGATAGCGCTGATGAAAATGCTTTTAATTTGCATTATGTTCTAACCTAATACAGAGATTTTCATTACACATAATATTATCAGCATAAAAATTAATATTAAAGGTAAAATCTTTAAATTTTAACATGAACTTCAGAATTTCACAGTATTGGGTGTCGTGTCCCTCTACACTGCAAAAAAATGGTATCTTGTTAAGTACAATACTGTGAAATTCTGAAATTCATGTTAAAATTTAAAGATGTTACTTTTAATTTAAATTATTATGCTGATATCATCATTTGTAATGAAAATCTGTGTCAGACTTCTGGACTAAACTGTGAGTGTAACATGGTGGGAGATGATGGAGACGAGGTTGTGGGATGCATGTGAGTTCACACAGCAGCAAACCAATCACATCTGTGATGTATTTAGGCAAAAAAATCAAATTTAGGTTTAACCTGGTAATGTTAATGTACTTATAACACAAAGCACACTGTACTCTTCAAAATCAAGGTTCTAAGAGCGTCCATATGATTCATGACTGAATTTTCCCACTTTCTTTAATAAAAGAGTTTAGCGTAGCATGTAAACAACATGCTAAACTTTCAAGGCATATCGTTCACTCCTCAGGACACACAGTCCATATACGGGAATTAAACTGCAAACACAGTTTGTTTTTAATTCACTGTTTCTATGATGTCATGAGAACCAACTCATTTACATATATCAGTGTCTGTGGATCTGCAGAGTAAGAGCCTCTTTAAACACTTGTAGACTTTCATCCACAGCAGAGAAGCTCAGGACTGTTTTAGATCAGAATGTGTGAAAATAAACGAGCAGCAATGAGTTTATGAGTGTCTGTTCATACTTTCACCACCAGATGGAGCTACAGCATTAAAACTCATCAGACTGTAGAGAAGCTGCAGGCTTCAGCACTGCTGAACTACTGACCACCTCATCACACACACACACACACACGCACACACACACACACACACGCACACACACACGCACACACACACACACACACACACACACGCACACACACGCACACACGCACACACACACACACGCACACGCACACACGCGCACACACACACGCACACACACACACACACACCGCGCTGTTCTCATAAACACACTCTGAAAGAAACATAACGGGATCTAATGCAGCTCTTAATTATTAATCTTATATCTTTGGGTTATTCCGCTACGAGTTATTCAGTATCTGCTATGATATTTGGTCTTAAAGAAACACTTTAAGGTTACTGAACTTCTTACCTGCAGAACCTAAACAGAATCTTCTCAAACACCAGAACCGGACCGGTGCTGCCCAGGATGGTAAGTGGCTGACCAGCAAAGAGAGAATACGCCACTCCGGTCAGAGACGCTCCGAACAGAGACTCTATAGCACTCTACCAGAGAGAGAGAGAGAGAGAATTTATATAGACCCTGTCTGTGTACATACATGGGTGTGTCTCTACCGATCACTCTGTCTGTGTGAGTCACACACTCACGATGTTGTTTTTGGTGATATCTCCCAGCAGACCCCCGAAGGTGATGACAGGGGACATACAGGCACAGTACAGGAACAGGATAGAGGCCAAACACTGCAGACTCAGAGCGTCTCGCACGTCACTCCAATAAAACGGAGCTTTACGCCGAACATCCCTCACCAAACCCCCAAATATCCTGAGAGAGAGAGAGAGAGAGAGAGATAAAGTAACTACTAGATAACTATTAATGAAGATTAGCATACATCACTTATAGAACACATGTTCTGACAGACTGTAATACACTACAGGAAGTGTAGGGGGCGATATGGCCTCTACTGTTTCATTTAAAAAGCTCTATAATGTTCATATGATCCACACAGTCACTCTGACAGACTGTAATACACTACAGGAAGTGTAGGGGGCGATATGGCTTCTACTGTTTCATTTAAAAAGCTCTATAATGTTCATATGATCCACACAGTCACTCTGTTATACTGTAAAACATCAGGAGGGAAGAAATGTAATGTAGATTATCAGCATTTACTAATATTATTATTATTATTATTATTATTATGTGGCAGGGAGAGCAGGATAGTGGGTCTGTACAGAAGCTCTGTAAGTCCATCTCAAATCCTCTCTCTCTCTGTAACCCAGCTGTCTCTGAACGGCCACTTGCGGTCCACATCAAAGCGCGGTGGTGGCTAAATTTACCCTCTGTGCTGCCGCTCTCCGGCGCAGCTTCGGCTCCATTAAAGCCCGGTTTAGAACTCCGTCTAATGCTGCTTTAATGAGGCAGCAGCTCTGATCCTCTCCACACTCACTCATTCGAACACACTCACACTCACACACACTCACACACACACTCACACACACACTCACACACACCGCTTCATCAAAACAGACTTACAGCAAATCCACCACCGCACTAACGCTAACGCTAATGCTAACGTCCGGACTCACACTGATCCACATCCTTCAGCCCCCTGTTCCTGAGTTAATGTGATAATACAGTGCGGTTTTACAGCCACATCAACCACACATAGCACTTGGGTCTGCAGGGGTCTCAACATCGGACCCTCCGTTACAGTAAAGGCTAACAGTGAGCTAGCAGGGTCTAAATATATGTATCAAAGGTTCTGTAGTAAAGAAAATGGTTCCGTATAAAGTCATGAACACTCAAAGAACCATTTGCATGGTAAAATGGTTCTCTGCATGGTGAAATGGTTCTTTAGACTGATGGAAAACGTGCTGTATATGGTCCTATAAAGCACCAAAAAAGGTTCTTCAATTGTTACAAGTTTGACACTGCAACATCTAGAACCCTTTTCAAAAAAGTTCTATATAGAACCATACACAGCCCATTCTCCAACCACTTTATTATGCAGAGAACCAGTAGAGCATGCAAATAGTTCTTTAGGTGTTCACGGTTCTATTTAGAACCATTGTCTTTACTAAAGAACCCTTGAAGATCCATCTTTTTTAAGAGTGTACTGAAGACACGCCCCCTCCTGAAGGTGCATTTCTCCTTTGAGAAGTCTTGTTTTATTCACTCACTGCAACAAAGCTAATTTTGCTAGCGTCTCCATGGGAATCCCTACATGATATTAGCACCAAGCTAACTGAGGTGTACTTTCGCTTGTGCGCTGTACTAACCGTCCTGTCCTCTGTAGTTCGGGGCCTGTGTGATGATCCTCCTCTTTAATGCTCTCTGATGGGGGGGCGGAGCCGTTGGGCACTGGGGGCAACTTCCTCTTCTCCTACAGAGACAAACACACACCACACAGTTTAACACACACCCGTACAGTACAGCACAGCACAGCACAGCACACACACACACACACACACACACACACACACACACACACACAGACGTAACGCACTGACAGACGGCGCCTTATTACTGTAGATAAACATGAATCCACTACTGTCCACTGAGTGAAGGTGTTCCTCAGGGGTAAACGAGTCTGCTGGGTGTAGTAATGAAGTGAAATGGGTCTGAATTCTAATCTACCATTAAATGAGGCTGCAGTGTCTGAATTAGACGGTTCTGCTGTAGCACATTTTCAGCCTTTCTGTTCTGCCTTTGTTCAGTTTACTGGACTCCACACGAAATCGCCCTCCAGCACCACATCAGGTCACAGCATTAAGAACCGAATGAAGAACTGCCAGCTGAAATCACAGGCTCATGTACACTGGAATAAGTTCTCTTCTGCTGTTCTAGAGCAGGAGAGTCAAGTGGGGAGAACCTCCCGCTCAGGTTTCTTCACCTCTGATGAGACTGATGCTCTTAGTTATTGTGTTATTGTTAAACTTCTGTTGTTTTATTTGTTTCTTTATTTTTGCACTCCACATTAAGCTGCTCACCAAAACTGCAGAATTTCACCCTGAAGTAATGTTTTGCCCAGTTTGACCAACTTATTACTTTTGGTTTGTATAATCTTTTACTGCTTTTTCCTCCCAACTTCTTTTGTGTTTAATAATAATGATCAATATTGTACATATTTGTAAGGTTTTCCACCCCCCCCCTTGTTTTTGCATTCCTTGTGATATTCTTGTGCTTCACTGGTTCTGATGCTCCATACGCACTGATTAATTAAAAAGGTGTTGTACCAACGTAATGTTATTATTATTTTTTTTGTTTATTATTATTATTATTATTATTAATATTATTAGTAGTAGTAGTAGTACAAGTAATAAGCTCATTCTTCACACTCAGCACCATAAAGCCCCCTAACCCTGCCCCCCACTGGCTGTGCCTCTACTGACCTGTGAGGGGACATTTTTTGGGGGCTCGATGCGTATGGTGGGGTCCCACTCCCCCGGGGGCAGAACGGTCACCTGGTCCAGAAACTCATCGATTCCTGAGAGCAGGTCATTTCGGTCTTTGGCTTTATACGCTACATCATGGAAAACCTAACGAACAACAACAACAGGAGGGAAAGAAGATCTGAAAACCAGAGCTGATCACAATTAGTGTTATTAATTATATCAGTAATGGAGAAAACTACTGAACAAAGCTGGATCTAACTGAGCAACAGTGAAGCCTGCAGTTCAAAAAAAGCACACACAGTGAAAAACTACAGAACCAACAGCTAATTAACAGAACCTAACAAAACTGCTGAGAACTCTGAAGCTCCACCCCCTGCACTACAGTGTTTACATTAATGTAAAGAGTTTGGGCTGAGGGTTTGAGTGACAGTGTGGACGTTGTACCTCGTCGGTCATCAGCGTGGCGATGGACCGGCCGATCTCATGGTACTGAGATCCTTTACCGAACGGGCCGAGCAGCAGAAACAGAAACCTGAAACACAGCGACAACAAAACCGAGCTGTTCACACACAGCAGGAGAAAGACCACCTCTCAGCTCAGGGTACAGGACCTCTGGGGTCCCGCAGTTTAACACAGAAGACCCTGTTTATTTACTCTGAACTGATTTCTTGTTCTTTCAGCTCCAGTAACTCAAAACGCTTTTATTATATATCAAAAGATTAAGCACACTGACCGGGGGTGTCATAGGTTGTTTACATTGCCTGGGAGACGCCACTGTCAATCATCATGTGATCAGACACGCCCACACAGCAGCAGCTTGGAATTTTTGGAGCGTTTATTTGCTATTAAATCGTCTTAATATAATTTATTCCTGTAATAAAACACTGGTAAACACTTCCTTCCGCATCAAACCTTTACTGTTAAAGCAAAAATGTGAACATTAGAGGCTGCGTTGAGGGGCTTTCAGTCCAAACGTTTTGGTCAGCTGTGGAGTTTACAGGTGTAAATGCTGGTGAGCTGAGGGAGACCCGATGGAGATCTCTCTCAGAACTCTCAGTACCGACCGGATCACTCCGCACTGCTGTGCTGCAGGTGAGTGTGTTACCTGGTGGGCACCGGCACCTCAGTGAGGCCGGAGAGGAGGACGGCGGGGGACAGTCTGACGAAGGCGATGATGGGACGGTCCAGGAAATCCACCTCCCCCACCAGAACATTCGACGCCTCCGCACCCGGAGGAATCTTTCTCATGAAGTTCATGTCCACCTGAGGGTCAAAGGTCAAGAGGTTAGGGTAAGCGTGGGAACTTAAACAGTTGGGATAATTCAGATAATATTATTATATGACTGCACTGTTCCTCAACCTGGCAGCAGGTTGGTTTAGAACACTAGGTGGCACTGTGTGTGTTACTGTCTATACGGAGAGAGGAGCTAGATATGTTCATATGCATTTTTTTATATATAGAACAAAATATTTTCCATGTATATGTTGTTTAGGTGACGCTGAGGACGTGTTCACTTATCTTCACTTAATTTTCACTTAAAAATATCAGGTTCAGCCCACGTTTCCAATATCAGTGCATGTAAAAGGCATTTGGGGTCGTGTCTCCGAGCCGCGTGGGGGTGAAGGTTCCTCCACAGCGAGCAGGACGTGGTGGTTTACAGTGAAAGTGAGTGAGGAACAGTGCGGTGGAGGTGGCCTCGTTAACTCCAGCAGGGTTCCTGTTCTGCACGCTGCTCTCTGCTGCTGATCAACTCATTAAAGCCAGCTTTAGAGTGGTTTCCTCACGTTCCCTCTGCATCCGCCAACACAAACACCTCAGCAGCTTTACACTCCGCACACAGCTCACTACACACTACACACACACACAGCACAGCGGACCTGGACATACACTCTGAAAAAAGACTGTTCTTCAAGGGTTCTTTAGTAAAGAAAACGGTTCTATATAAAACCATGAACGCTCAAAGAACCCTTCGATGCCTAAATGGTTCTCATTTATTTTCAGTTCCATTCACTGAAGCTAAACTTAACATAAAAGTAAAACGTCAGGACCCCCATGGACCCTCACAGAGCAGGTACTATTTGGGTGGTGGGTCATTCTCAGCACTGCAGTAACACTGACGTGGTGGTGGTGTGTTAGTGTGTGTTGTGCTGGTCTGAGTGGATCAGACACAGCAGTGCTGCTGGAGTTTTTAAATACTGTGTCCACTCACTGTCCACTCTATTAGACACTCCTACCTTGTCGATCCACCTTGTAGATGTAAAGTCAGAGACGATAGCTCATCTGCTGCTGCACAGTTTGTGTCGGTCATCCTCTAGTCCTTCATCAGTGGTCACAGGACGCTGCCCACAGGACGCTGTTGGCTGGATATGTTTGCTTGGTGGACTATTCTCAGTCCAGCAGTGACACTGAGGGGTTTATAAACTCCAGCAGCACTGCTGTGTCTAATCCACTCAGACCAGCGCAACACACACTAACACACCACCACCACGTCAGTGTTACTGCAGTGCTGAGAATGATCCACCACCCAAACAGTACCTGCTCTGTGAGGGTCCATGGGGGTCCTGACCACTGAAGAACAGGGTAAAAGGGGGCTAACAAAGTATCAGAGAAACAGATGGACTACAGTCTGTAACTGTAGAACTACAAAGTGACCTATACAGTAAGTGGAGCTGATAAAATGGACAATGAGCGTAGAAACAAGGAGGCGGTCAGAATGTTATGCCTGATCAGTGTACACTCACACACACACACACACACACACACACACACACAAGAATACCTATAGTAATATGTATAGATACGTTTATTATAAATAAAACAAATACATAAATAAACAGTACATAAACAGTATATCTAAGAAGATCAATAGTGATAACGTTATTAGTGGAGTTCTAAAGAGGTTCCTAAAGATCTTTCTGAGATGATGTAGAGCTGAGACGTGTTTGGACAGTTCTTTTATTGATCAGTATCTGTAACAGAAAATGTGCTTTCATCCTCTCTCTCATCTCTCACACTCCTTACAGGGACATGAATCTCAACTTCCCAACATTACCAGCTGTTTAACGGTAAATTAGCCCTCCAGTTCTCAGTCAGTGTCCCAATACGGTGATTATCACCCTTTACGCCTCACCATCAGGTTACTTATCAATCATTGATGATATCCGGCTACATCACCCAATCGCCCAGGCCGGAAACAGAACCAGGGTAAAGTCTGGACTCACCTGACCCAGTATTTCATCATCTGTTACAGTCAGTGTGGACGTGAATTCAGAACTTGTTCTCCTTCTGAAGCGTGACGAATTTGTGATTCTGCAGCAGTTCGATCTGATTTGTTAAAAAGACTATTTCACAATAATCATTCCATCGATCACCTAAAATCATCAGCAATACAGAAAAAACAGCACAACATGACACCACACTACACTACACAACACTAAAAGATGATGCATGACACGCATCGCAATATTCTGACACACATAAACACACTAATAGCGCCACCATCACAAACTACAAGTATAATTATTATTATTCAGCATTTTCCAGCAAACCCAGTCAAACAGGATTAATGAAGCTCATTATAATCAAACACACAGCTCGACTGGCTTCACTGCAGTCATTACAGTTCAGTAAACAGGATGAGCTGTAATGCTTTACAGACTGACTGGAAAACACTAAAAAAGCTGAGCTGAACCTGATATTCACACAGCTTCATGGGCCAACACAATTTCTGGCTGAAGGAATTGGCCATATTTACAAGGGATAACACTGATATTTCTAAAATTCTGCATAATTGAATGTGTGAGATGTAAACAGAGAGATTCAGAGTGGTTTGGTGTGAAATGGTTCAGATGTCTTTACAGTGGTGGTGATAGGAACCAGGGGTCGCCATGACTACAACACAGATATAGACATTTTATTTACTATCCAGAACCACCAGTGAACCTACACGAGTCTTCTGAGTTTATATGGAATGTTGATGATGGAAAATAGTGGAAAATCTGAAATAATAAGTTTTCTTTGGGGACTATTTTGCCTCACAGCGCCCTGCATGTATCCCTCCACCATGAATGGAGTTTAAGTTCTCCAAACTATCATAAAACAGTGTCTCAGTCATCAGGCAGTGAATTCATAACCATTTCATGTAGGAACTTTCTGTGAGGGAGCTTTTAGAGGTGGACGTCTGGTTCCTATCACCACCACTGTGAACAATTCTCGGTACGTTTATCTAGAACGGAGCGTTTCACACCAAACCACTCTGAACCACTCTGAACCACTCTGTTTACATCATAACCTTTTATAAAAGCAGTGAGGCTCCTGTGTTGCTCATCTTTAGCTTGTACCTGAGACCGTATCACATTTAATGATATTCACCATAAACACACGACCTCCAGTGTTCTCCAGCTACTGAAGCGTCTAAAATAAAAGACTTATTTAGCACTTTTTGCTCACTGTATAATTCCAATATGGGTTATTTATGGTTTTAAGATCTAAAATATGAAAAACATTAAAAATAAGTGAAAAACCTGTCAATGAACAGGTGTGTCCAGACTTCTGACTGGCGCTGTATGTTCACATCAACCCTTTCAACACAAACGACACAGACAGATAGGAGAGGAGAGCTCTGAGCACTGAGACGTGAGGGAGTTCCATACCGATTGCACAATCGCTGAGCAGTGAAACCACAAGCATGTGAGAAACAGGAGGGTTTCGTAATGAGAGAAGATCATTTGATTCTTTAGAAAACCACACGTCAGCAGAGCTGCAGAGCAGGGCCTGTTTTCTCATGCTAATGCTAGTTTTGCTAACGTGCTTCTGCACTCATGGGAAGAATCGCATAACATCTGAAAACATCAACGTCAAACACAGACATCACAACAACTATCAGCACTCAGAGTCCTCACCATCTCCGCAGGTGGACTTCACACCATCTCCATCCACACGTCCTCATAACAATGAACACAGTTACAACTGACGCCTTCCTATAAACTCAACTTACAGTCAAAACAGCCATCAAGACACTGATTTTCAGGAGATATTTCTGAGATTAGGTATAAATTTATCCACTTGCATAAAGAAAGAGAAGGTTAAAGTGAAGAAACAGGGGTTTCCAAAATCTATTAAAAGCTCCAGAGAAAATGTGTCTCCTAACAACCACCTGGAAGAGCTGGTGGACCCCAAAACTGCCCCATCAGATAAACAGCACTTAAAGCTTTCATCTCTGAGAGAGAGGAGAAAATCAAGCTGATCAGATCTGAAAACATCCACAGGTGTTTCTGTCCATCCTTCCACTGTGAGAAGACGACTCAGCGCTGTGGGTCTGAAAGGATGTGTAGCTGATCAAGAAGAACCTCACTGAGAAAAGGAGACGGACACATCAAACAAAGAAGCTGGACAATGGACTGACCACCCCAGAGTCCAGACCTCAACACCACTGAATGTGTTTGATTACTTCAGAAAGGTTCATTAACAGACGTTTGTTTTCCATCAGACAGAAAACTTCTGCTGCTCTGGAATTCAAAACACACGAACCTGCAGATTCTCAAACAGCACACAAGTGATAAAACCCCGAACGTGCCAAGCTTCGCTTATCAGGCGCTCCTGACCGCACGGCCACAGATGGTCACAGTTAAGGTCAGTTCACTGAACTCACATCTGGATCTGAATCTAGGTTCACTTTCATAACTAGAACTGGATTCACTTCTGTATTTGAACTTCTGTTTAAACCTGAATCTGAAATGTACTTATCTTTACACTTACAGCTGTTTTATCTGCATTGAACATGCAAAATACAAAGAAATAAACAACAGAAACGAATGAAAACAAAATAAACTATTAAAATGTCAAAAACAAAAATTCTACAAATACCAGGGAAACATTTTATTGTACATACACATTTTCCGTTACATCTAGAGGCCTGAAAACTATTGTCTTATCACTAAATCAGAAAACTGTAGAGGATAAACAAATGAATGATGCACTTTTATCAATCTTTTTTATTAAGTAATGATATTGATAATTATGTACAAATTGACAATTTATGCATTTGGAAAAATTATTTCATTTGGAAAAAAAAAAAATTGCCTACAAGTGGTCAGTATTTCTGGTATAATCCTGCTGTACAACAGTGTAAGCAGTGTAAACGCTGTGTATGTGAATGACCAATGTGTGCGAGCTTTAGCCGTCAAACAGGACTTACACAACAATAACTGTTCATCAAATTCAAACTATGCTAAAATATCTCCTCTCCTACATTAATAACTAATGTGGACCGGAGTGAAAAGTTTCCACAGTTTCTCCACTCATTTCTGTGACGGACAAGTCAGAAATCGTTCATATAAAACTGCAGCTTTTATTACAGCCAGCAACGCTGTGACGAGTTAATCCCTCAGATCAGGACACAGAGCTCACATCAAGATCACATTAAAAAGAAACAGCTTCTCTCTCTGACGATCAAAGAACATCAATTACAGACATGAAAGAACCACAAACACAGAACAACGATCAGAAGCTGAGCGGCGCTTTATTACACGCTGGATTACGACATCAAACACGGTCAGCAGCACTGCACACGCCACCATGCAACACACACTGACAGGAGCGGACGAGTGACATCACAGAGCGCCGGGGGCGGGACTTACAGCGGATCTCACGCAGCCGCAGCGGAAAGAGGGGTGGCAGTCCTGTTGCCGCAGCAACCGCACAGCCAGGGACAGAGTGACAGTCACAGTTCAGGTCAGTTCACACCTGAATCTGAATTGGATCTGAATCTAGATTCACTTTTACCCTTCTCTCTACACTCACGTCTGAATTCACACCCCTCTTACACCTGGATCTGGATTCACTTCCTTTTTACACCTGGATCTGGATTCACTTCTCCTTATACCTGGATCTGGATTCACTTCTCCTTATACCTGGATCTGGATTCACTTTTCCTTATACCTGGATCTGGATTCACTTTTCCTTATACCTGGATCTGGATTCACTTCTCCTTATACCTGGATCTGGATTCACTTCCTTTTTACACCTGGATCTGGATTCACTTCCTTTTTACACCTAGATTTGCATTCATTTCTCTTTAGATTCACTTCTCCTTACCCTGGATCTGGATTCACTTCTTACACATGGATCTGGATTCACTTTTCTTTGGATTCACTTCCTTTTTACACCTGGATCTGCATTCACTTCTCTTTAAATTCACTTCTCACTACACCTGAATCCACTTCCTGTTACACCTGAATCTGGATTAAAATCTCTTTGCAGCTGTTTCTGGACTCACTCTTCTTTACACCTGGACCTGGATCTGTACACACCTGCCACTGATGTTTTGTTTTAGACACAAAATGAAATCAGAAATTGCACATTTCACCCTTCCACACACATTTACACACAGGATTTAAACAGGAAAGTGTGAACATATACATATATTCAGTTTGTATGAAGCCTCGTATAATTCCCGGGAATCACTGGAGGGCTCGTAGGTGCACAGAAGCAGATACATTACTGGGAAAGACAGCAAGATCCTGATAAGAGCCGACGCGTTTCTGAGACACGCTTTACTTTTCCTGTATGTGAAACAAGTGGCGAGTGTATTTCGACGGCGATTCTTTTGAAACTCTGCTCGAGAGAAGCGACTGTTCCTGCAGATGAGTCTTCAGTTTTTGCTGCAGGTTTATTACATACATGACTGAGGAATAAAGTACCTGCTGATGCTGTTTATGCGGAGGACGTCGAATGTGAACGTGAGCATGCCGGCAGGTTATAACGACACTAAGCCGGAACACGAGGAGAACCTCTCTCCCGGTGATGTTTACAGTGTAAAGAACACTGTTAGAAATGTGTGTTTAGGCCGTGTGAACGCAGGGCTGGGTTTCCTCCACACCCCATCCCACACTGAGCTCCACAACACAGCTGACCCGCTCACACAGCGGTCAGATCCAGCTGTGGGTGTACCATTACAAACGCCTGTCTTAGGAGGGGGGGGGTGGTGGGGGGACAGCAGAAACCACAGCAGGGTCAGTTCACTAATATTGACGCCCCACCCAGTAGGACTCATGATGAGCTCATCACACAGAGCTGCTGAGGCAAACTGCATTTAATACATTTAACATTAATATAATAAAACTATCACTGATTTGAGCAAAACGTCTGGTAGCACTTCAGAATAGGGGGTGTTATAATGCCTCTATAGCACTCTTATTAACCCTGATCAAGCCAGGAGAGAGTCATTAACCAGCTGCTCATTACTGCTTTATTACAGGGTGTTCAGGCGATGCCTGTTTAAATGCGAGACGCGCTTTTAGGGGGCGGGTTACACATTTAACTGATAAGTAGGTAAAGATGAGACTCATTTGAGAGAATAAGAAAGGCTGCGACAGTGATAAACAATCAGAAGCTGACCAATATAATAACAAAGAGAAAACCCCTTTGATGTCCAGACTGTGGTGATGTTTGCGTGGAGTGTCGCTGTAACGTCCGGTCTTGTCCTGCTTCGTCTTTTTCAGTTTCTGTCTTTCCCTCGTGTGTCTTGTTCCATGTGCTTTTGTTGTTGTTTTGATCTGTGTCTCCTCCCTGGTCATCCGTCCCACCTGTTTGTAGTCTGTAGCCCCGCCCTCTCGTTAGCCCCAGGTGTTTTTCATGTGTTCTCTGTCTATTTATTCCTCTTGGTTCGTCTGTTCTTTGCTTGGTGCTATTTTGAGTATGAGCTGTCATTCCTACATATTTTGCTCTCTGTTCTTTGCTTTTGATGGTTCTTTTCATTTCTTTGGCATCTTCCTCATTTTGCTTTTCTTTGTTTTTTTTGCTACTTTTTCCACAGACAATAATAAAACTGCTGGCTCACACTTGCATCCCGCCTCCTCGTCTCCTTCAGCTTCCAACACGTTACAGTCGTTCGGAAGAGAACTTTGAAACACCTTTGAACAGTGTGTGGAATCCTCAGCATAAACAGCCGACACCAAACCACGCTTAACCATTTAATTATGCAAAGAACTTGGTGGAGTTCCCCTTTAAGCTTCTGCTAAGAGATTCAGTCTAACAGGTCAGATAATTAATAGTAGCTTGATTAATAAGCTCAGTTCGTACAGAACCTGAGATCGAATAAGGTCAAATAAGCGCACGTTAACTAGAAATCATGGGCTTTATTTAGAGCTAACGGGGGTTTATTATTGTCTTTTGGACAGAAATCAAACAAAAATATTCACAATATAGACCCATAATACACAATAAATAATAAGCATTCTGGAAAATTCTTAAAATGGCAATAATGAGCAGCCAGTTTGGTGTCTTGGTTAGTTAGTAAACAGTTATAATAAGAGCATAATAAAACCTGACGTTGTGAAAGATTCTGGTGTGTCGCTCCTGCGATACTGAAGTGTTACTGAATGCTTTCTTCCTTTAACTCATTTCTTCACTGTGAGTGAAACGTGATAATGAAACACTTCCTGTTGTGTGTGACCAGTGAAAGAGCCTAACTGTGGAACAGTTCTGTCCTGAACCTGAAACCTGACACGCTGCTTCATTTCCCAGGGGGTCAGCGCAGAGCGGACGAGTTAAAGTCTGTCCGTGTGATTAAAGAACACGAGGCTGTAATCAGAGATGGCTATAAAACAGGAAATAAAGCACCGTCTCACGTTCACAACATTCACATAAAAGACATCTGATCAGTAATTAAACGGTCAGACGATCAGATGACAGAGTGATTCAGAACGGCCCGAGTTACAGTTACGTTCTGCAGCGATGCGGAACAGACGGTCTGAAACTCTAATATCAGCCCTTTAACACCGTCAGTGATTTAAAGGGCCAGTAAGGAAAAACTGAACTTTTTTAAATGAAAAAGTCTGTTGTAGTATGTAAACATCGCTAAAGTTTCAACATATTTTATGTGGGAGAGAAGCACAGGAGAATGCAGAGCCGAAGAAAATGCAGAGTGATTGCGCAGCTTAAGCTTTCTGCAACATGTGGCTCCAGAGCCGCATGCGGCTCCTTTACTGTCGTGTTCTGACTCCACAGCTGAATCAGATTAGCAGGTAAAAATAAAATAATCCTCCTTTACAGTAAAATAAAGCTCTGCTGATCGTTCAACACAGTTTAACAATAAATGGTCTTAAACTCTGGAGTTAATGTAGAACTGCTAATTCACCTTTAACCCTGAAGATCAGCACAGACTGCTGCACCATAGCAACACAGACAACAGTCTCGCCTAGCTAGTAGCTAACGAAACAGCAAAGAGGGAGATTTAAGATGAACATCGATAATTTAGAGACGAATGGACTCATTATTGTTTATAATCACTCCAGCTGGTTTCCTGATACGTTTAATCTGCAGTGAGAAACTCAAACACTAAAAAGTCACGAAGCTGAAGTCAGTTTCTCATTCGAATTGTCCCGTTCCACCTTAAATGGTGCAGAAGTTACATTCTGGCACCTCAGGCACCATTTAAGGTGGAACGGGAAAACTGGAGCAAGAAGCTGCTGAATGAGAAGCGACTTCAGCCTCGTAAAAGTCGAACGCTGAGAGACATTTTACAAGAAACTGTTCTACTTTTGAGGAAAAGTTTCCTGCTGGAGATGCGAGAAAAGCAGCTGTAGCTGAGCTGAAGCTTAAAGCAGAGCAAAGTAAGTCTGAGTTTTTGTTTATATTATATTTTTAGTCTATATTAGTTCATCAGCACACACTGAGACACATTTACAGCCAAGATGGTAAAATGGAAATGAAAAATCAAAGTGGTTTGATTTTTGCTCAAATGGCAAAATGGCTCTTCTTAACATTTGGGCTGCTGGTGGTTGCTAAGCGGTTGCTACACAGTTGCTATAGTATCCAGGCAGTTGCTTTGATATTCCAAGTGGTCGCTAATGTTTTGCTAGGCAGATGCTGTGGTGTACAGGGTGTTTACCAAGTGGTTGTTAAGGAGTTGCCAAGTGGTTTCTTATTTATTTTTTATTTTATCTTTATTTAACCAGGGTAGTCACACCAAGATTAAACATCTCTAAGGGTCGTTGAAATGAATGGGAGTCTATGTGAGGAACGAGGGACGAAAAAACAACACGCAGAGGAGCCCGGGTCAGTGTGGCTGTGGAGTAGAGTTTGGGGAGCTGCCCTGTCAGAGGACAGTGTGGTCACTGTCAGTCAGAGCTGAGCTCACAGAGCAGCTGCAACATCTGCACTACTGTAATATCAGGTCAGACTGTCTCAGCGTCAGAGCATCAGGGAGGAACTGGACGGAGGAACCTGCAGATCTTGGATGTGTTTATCTTACCTTGCTGAAGTCGACGGTGCTGTTCTCTCGGCTCCCCGTGCCCCCCCCACCAGCACTGCTGATCCGACTCTCGCTCGGCTTACTGTTCTCCAGGCTCCCCGGGGCCGACTGGGGAGAGGCCAGCAACCCTGGGGGGGGGCGGAGAGAGAGAGAGAGAGAGAGAGAGAGAGAGAGAGAGAGAGAGAGAGAGATATTGAGAGAGAGAAGGAGAGACAGAGAGATAGAGAGAAGGAGAGAAAGAGGGAGAGACAGAGAGATATTAAGAGAGAGAGAGAGAGAGAGAGAGAGAGAGAGAGAGAGTAACTATCCTGAACTAGTGGTGATATTAGGTTTCTATTAATTCAGCAAAAACAAAAAAATAACTAAATAAAAAAAAGAGTCTACATCCATTCAGAGACACTATTATAATCATAATTCATCACTTCCCATTTGGTCGTTGTTAATCATAATGATTAATTTTTTTATATAAATAATTGCAATTAATAATTCACGATTTAATTGTCAAACCACCCCAATTGGTCTATTTGGTAGCACAGTCGAGCACACACATTTCAGTGTTAAGCTACATAAATAGCTTTTATATTATATATTATATATATGCATATACGCACACATACATATTTGAAGCTTAAAATATAAGCCAAAAACCTTCACTCTGCTAGAAAACACGCTGAAAACATAAGAACTGCCTACATAGCTAACGAACATTACTCAGTGCTGCCCTCTAAACCTGTTAGGGCTCCGTGTCGGACGTCAGAAGTTCCTCTGTTTACATTAGTTCCACCATGTCTCAGTAAACATATTTACTGCTTTATTTCATTTACAACTGCCTCATTCCAAGAAATGTAGATTCTGTCTGTTGCGGCTTCATATTAGAGATGGATCCAGCTTATCAAACCTCAGAAAAACTAAACACTGTGCTGCAAATCGCGTATCAAACCAAGGTTGTTAAGAATCCACCTCCAGATGAAAGTTCACTCAGAGTGAGGTCACTCAGAGCTCTCAGCGTGTTTATTAATGCAAATACAGTCAGCACTGCTGATATAAACACACTGCAGAACAACAATAACACCACTCAGATCACAGAGAGAGTGAGAGAGAGAGAGAGAGAGAGAGAGAGAGAGAGAGAGAGAGGCTCTCTCTATCACTACAGCATCCTTTCTTCTCCTCCAGGAAGTGTCTGATGTTTCTGAGACGTTTAACTTCCTCATCCATACAGGCCATAAATGGAAACTAAACAGCCTGTTTAAGACTATTAAGCCCCACCCATCCAGCCTACAGCAGTTTAGCCCCACCCATCCAGCCTACAGCAGTTTAGCCACTCATACTGAAATGAATGACTGGTTTTAGTCCATAAAATAAACGTTCTAAGTGGTCATCAAAGTAAAAAAGAGGGAGTAAAATCTTGAACGTGGGCTCTTTAATACTCGAACGCTCCACTGTTGCCTTTTCATTCGTCACTTTTTCCTCCCAGAACAGAAGCAGAAGCAGATTAAGATCACGTTATTCAAAACACTGAAAGCAGAACAATGAAACAGCCCCTCTGTCCACTCACACATCTGATAAACTGCAGTCAACACCCCCCCCCACACACACACACCACTCGCTCCCTCATGAGCTTCGGGGAAGCAGTAACATGAACGAGGAGCCGAGCAGAACGTCAGAGAACACAGACGGGTGCAGGACGGGTCAGGCAGGTGAAGCAGGGAGTCGGAGTGAGAATAACGGAGCTGAAAGGAAAGTGCAGGACAAAAAGTCTAACTTACACAAAAATCAGAAATTCTGTTTTTAGTTATGCTATGGTGTTATTAATGATCACGTTTCTACCAAACGATACACACAGCGTCAGAGACCACAGAGTCAAGTCTAGTAGAGCTACTGAACAACTGCCCACGCTTTGAGGCACGAAGTTTACGCTTCTTGCTTGAATTTTCCGTTTCACCTTAAATGGTGCAGCAGTTACATTCTGGCGCCTCTGTGATTATTCAGGCCTGCAGTTAGCATGCTAACTGATACAGCATTAGCTTCCATTACTTGTTAGCTACATTAGCCTCGTTGCTCCAGTGCTAAAACTAAAGAAGCAGCTGAAGCAGTGAGCTCGTTTATTTGCGCTGCGTTTGGTGTAACGGCCTTCGCAAAGTGCGTCTGTTTCCCAGTGCTCCTGAATCATGCTGCATGCTGAAAGCTGGATGATATTTGCCTTCTGAAGGGGGGGGCTGGAGCAGGGAGTAGTCAGGCCCCGCCCCCTCATCCTGGTCAGAGCTTTCGTGCAGGTGTGGCTCCTCCTCCTCTTCGGGCGGGAACACCACCACCTCTGGGATGTCGTCCCTCTGGCCCCGGGACACCAGCAACTCCGGGTGCTGCAGCGGGGGGCCGGCTGGGCGCGGTGGGGGCGAGGAGTGGCGGGATGGGGACGGGGAGTTCTGGGGCGTGGCGTACAGGGAGGAGGCGGGGCTTGGCTGCAGGAGGCCGAGGCTGAGGCCAAGGCTGAAGCCTAAGGAGCCGCGAGAGCTGCGGGACACTCTGGACTGCCGGCGTGAGTCCGGAGGGGTGGAGGCAGAGATGGAGGAGTTACGCCTCAGGAGTGACAAGCGGGAGGCGGAGAGCCCCTCCCCTTTTGGGGGCGTAGCATGAGGGAGGAAGAGGAGGATGAGGATGAGACAAGAAAAACAGGATGAATAAACAGTGGGAAGGGTTAAGGCATGAGCAGGCCTGGGCGACGCCTTCCCCATTTCAATGATGCTCACTTACTGAGTTATTCACAGTTATATATTCTTCTTATTATTCTTAGAATACAGTTTACAATCTTTTACACATTCAAGGAGATACTAATATATTCTTATAATTCACAATTACCCTTTTGTTTTCTAATGGGGTCTAAAATAGTAATCAGGCTTGATAACTGAGCTGCAGGAAACATAACAAATAACAATCCTTATCAAATTATATGGAAAATTATACTGTAGTGATATTTTCGGTCATATCGCCCAGTCCTAGTCAAGAGTGTCCAGTTCCAGTCCTTGAGGTCTTTAGTCCAGCACAGTTCCTGCTCAAACACACCCACTAAAACAAGGTTCTGTCTCACAAAGCAGGTTCCTCTTAAACAGGGTTCTTAATTGAGTTGAACAGCCGTGATAATTTAACAACTTTCTCTGTTACTCTGTTAATCCATGTTTAGACACTTAGACTGTGATTAATCCTTGTGCACAAGAAAACATGTTTACGATGAATAGCTAATCGCATGAAACATGAGTTGTTAACAAGCTTAAAAAAGAAATCATACTATGTAAATATCTAGAAAGTAGTGATGCATCGATACTGTACTGAGTACCTACTGAGAATGAAGTATCTGTTAGTGTAAATGAGTGTGATGTACCTCAACAGTTAAGTCATTAAGTCTATCTGATGTTAATGAAGGTCGTTATCTCGCTCTGCTACATCAGTGATCTCTGATCGAGCAGCGCTGCAGTGGAGGTTTAGTTCCCCGTCAGAAAAGCTCTTCTGTACAGCTGTAAGTAAAGTAGGTTTCATAGTTTTGATCCTCATCTGTCTCTTTCAGCAGCAGCACAGCAACAGCCAGAATCACATCCGAGTCTAATGCATCCGAGGAGCTCACACTTCTGGTTTTCCGTCTTCTGATTGGCTGGTTGAGCTGAATGTCCTCTATAGCCAGACAGACACTGTGTGATGTTAGAGGTCTTGTTCTTTGATGACTCTCACTGCACGTTTGAATAGACCATCGTGTTCAGACAAAGCTACGATTTATAAACTCACACTGTACGAAACGCTCCGTCTGACTGACCTGCTACGGGAAACGCAGCCTCTACAGACGCTCTGTCTACAGACCGTTATCAATAAAGCTGATTCACTCAGAATAACCGAGTACTGAGCAACACACTGAGACGCTGAGCAGCGCTGCTAACACTGAGCACTGAAGATAAAGCAGGCTCTGATGTTCACGGTAGGACAGTTCGGTCTCTCTACAGCCTGATTTACAGAAAATCACTGTATTCACGTTTATATCTCGATATTCTACTCAGTCAAACAGAGTAAAGACTCATATACAGACTTTGGTAGGAAATGTCGACTTTTTCTCCTCCGTTTTGTTGTCCTGTGTGTCTCCGTCCGTGTTGGGGAAGCGGTTGTGATTGTGTGTTTATTAAAGGTCTAAAATCTCAGTGTGTCCTGGTGGGAATTTGCCGAGGTAGAATGTGTAAAGTGAGCGACGACTTTGCGTCCGACTGTGACAGAGCCAGTAATTCTTCTCTGTGTGAGCAGATCCTCCATCACTGGGCTTGTTCATTAGCGCAGCAGCTACACTCGGCTTACGCCACACAGTATCAGCAGGTACCAGACGTTCGTATCAGTGCATCTGAGGTTGATTTCAAGTAAATTAGCACAATATCGGCCTGATACTCCATACTAGTGAAGTCAAGCATTAATAACAGTAGAGGCTGCCCCTGATTGGTCAGAAGGCTCCCCTGATTGGTCAGAAGGTTCCCCTAAATGGTCAGAAGGTTCCCCTGTATGGTCAGAAGGCTCCCCTGACTGGTCAGAACAGAGCAGAGAAAGCAAACCACACTGTATAGATATGAACTTATTACTGCAATAAGCACTAACAGTGTCAGCAGAGACAGTGCAGCCCTTTACTGTTACTAATGCTTATTATGCTACTTTATACATCTACTTTCTACATATTTACACCGAAACATAGTCTGGAATCATGTATAAGTTGAACTTTCTCCATGAGACAGAACCAGGAGGTGTTTCAGGAGGTAAAACAGCAAAATGAATGTGCTGGACACTCCAGGACCAGAGCTGGAGCATCACATATGAAGACAATGGAGTTCAGGCAGAAACTAGGTTTGATGGGGTTGGGGATTGAGGGGTTGGGGTGAGGGGGTAAGGACTGCAGGCGAAACGGAGGCAAGCAAACAAAAAACTCATTCAGTTGCAGAGTAAAGCCCTCCACAGTCTCACAGCACAGAGCAGAACCTCTGATCTCCATCATCAAAAGGCACGACATCCCAAAATGTATTAAAACTCATCTCACAGTGCCAGGAACTACAACAAACAACATGCAGCAAAACCTTACATACACTCCCAAAAAACATGGTTCTTCGAGGGCTCTTTAGTAAAGAAAATGGTTCTACATAGAACCATGAACCCCTCAAAAAACGTTCGCATGATCAAACTGTTCTTTGCATCGTAAAATAGTTCTTCAGATTGATGGAGAATGTGTAGACGGTTCTATAAGGAACCGTTCTGAAAAGGGTTCTATATAGCACCAAAAAGGGTTCTTCCATTGTAACAAGCTTGTGTCGTAACAAACGGTAGAACCCTTTTTGGTACTACATAGAACACTTTTTAAAAAGGTTCCATACAGAACCATCTACCACACATTCTCCAACAGTCTGAAGAACACTTTTACCATGCAAAGAACCATTTAATCATGCAAAGTGTTCTATGAGGGTTTCTTGGTTCTATATAAGACCATTTTCTTTACTAAAGAACCATCATTTTTAAGAGTGCACAGTTCTCTACTACAGAGGTGATGCTTCAAACACCAAACATCTCACATGGCACGGTGTCCATAAACCCAGCCAAGCAAATGCACTCCAGATGCCCATCATGCACCAAACATCTCCCAGCACTGACCACAAAAATCACATCCCCATTGCAACAACCTGCCAGTGCTGGACACAAAAGCCATCAGTACAAACACCCCATTTTTTTGAGTTTTGATTTGTTGTTTTGTTGATTTGTTTGATTTGATTTGTTGGAAAAAGGAGGATTTGGAGACGAAGTGGTGATTTGGTGAAGCTTAAACTACTAAGTTTGGGACAGTTCAGAGGAAAGTTCCTCTAGAAGAGTGGCTGGAAAAAAGTGGGGTGCAGCGAAGCATCTCACCGTTCCTCTCGAGCAAGTGCGGGTCGGAATGTTTCTTGCCTATGTCAGCGAAGGAGCGCACGAGCGGGATGCGGTTACTGAGCTTCTTCTCGTTCTGGTGGTGATGCCTCTTCAGCATGGCCTCCCGGACCTTCTCCATCAGAGACTCGTCCAGCTGCTTCTGCGCCACCATGCCGTCTATGATCATATCTGAAAAACAACATGCACAGTTACACCAGCAGATAAACACAATCTTTTATAAGAACTCAAGGAAAAACACTACTCTGAATCTGAAAGAGCAAAAGCAGAGTGTTCTGAAGCTGCTCGGCACACAAGCCAAACATGTGTGTTTAATAACAGCAGTTTCGCAACATCTGTGTGCAAATGGACCGACTCACGCAAAGCAAGAGAAAACAGACACGGCAAATCCAGCTTAGAGAGATCAGATCCTGCCTTCAACATTAGCTTCTAAGCAATTTTGCTCATCAAAGCTAGATTTATGTTTACCCAAACAAAGCTAGTTAGCTACTACAATGTTGGAGAAACTCAATCTCTTGCTTGGCACAAACAATAATACATGCCATTCTGTGGACTACTAAAGTAACTGTTACATGAAACTCAGGGTTGATGAGGCTGAAACTTCAACAGGATAAAGCTTAATGTGGAAACTACCAGGACCTAGAAGAGCAAAACCTAATATGACTTTTCTGGGTAATTGATAACCTGTGATTTTCCGGGGGGGGTTATCCTGTGGTTCTCAGGGTTAAGGTTAACCTGTGACTCTCAGGGTAAAGGTTATCCTGTGATTCTCAGGGTAAAGGTTAACCTGTGACTCTCAGGGTAAAGGTTATCCTGTGATTCTCAGGGTAAAGGTTAACCTGTGACTCTCAGGGTAAAGGTTATCCTGTGGTTCTCAGGGTAAAGGTTAACCTGTGATTCTCAAGGTAAAGGTTATCCTGTGACTCTCAGGGTAAAGGTTAACCTGTGACTCTCAGGGTAAAGGTTATCCTGTGACTCTCAGGGTAAAGGTTATCCTGTGACTCTCAGGGTAAAGGTTATCCTGTGACTCTCAGGGTAAAGGTTATGCTGTGACTCTCAGGGTAAAGGTTATCCTGTGAGTCTCAGGGTAAAGGTTATCCTGTGACTCTCAGGGTAAAGGTTATCCTGTGACTCTCAGGGTAAAGGTTATCCTGTGATTCTCAGGGTAAAGGTTATCCTGTGACTCTCAGGGTAAAGGTTATCCTGTGACTCTCAGGGTAAAGGTTATCCTGTGACTCTCAGGGTAAAGGTTATCCTGTGATTCTCAGGGTAAAGGTTATCCTGTGACTCTCAGGGTAAAGGTTATCCTGTGACTCTCAGGGTAAAGGTTATCCTGTGACTCTCAGGGTAAAGGTTATCCTGTGACTCTCAGGGTAAAGGTTATCCTGTGACTCTCAGGGTAAAGGTTATCCTGTGACTCTCAGGGTAAAGGTTATCCTGTGATTCTCAGGGTAAAGGTTATCCTGTGACTCTCAGGGTAAAGGTTATCCTGTGACTCTCAGGGTAAAGGTTATCCTGTGATTCTCAGGGTAAAGGTTATCCTGTGACTCTCAGGGTAAAGGTTATCCTGTGACTCTCAGGGTAAAGGTTATCCTGTGATTCTCAGGGTAAAGGTTATCCTGTGACTCTCAGGATAAGGTTATCCTGTGACTCTCAGGGTAAAGGTTATCCTGTGACTCTCAGGGTAAAGGTTATCCTGTGATTCTCAGGGTAAAGGTTATCCTGTGAGTCTCAGGGTAAAGGTTATCCTGTGACTCTCAGGGTAAAGGTTATCCTGTGACTCTCAGGGTAAAGGTTATCCTGTGACTCTCAGGGTAAAGGTTATCCTGTGACTCTCAGGGTAAAGGCTAACCTGCGATCTCTTCGATGGTGCTGGCCCGCATGTCCAGCATGACGGTGCCGCTCATGATGCAGCTCCGAAGCTCAAACAGGCTGTGCAGTGACAGAGTGGCCACATACGGTTTACTCCACCGCTCCCCACCATCCTCCACGTCCTCTTCAAACTTCAGCCACCTGCACCACATTCAAACACAGTGTTTCAGGTGTTCAAACACTAATTTTACTTCATATACATGACATTTGTACCTAAAAACATTTGCGCATTAGTGAGATCCTGCTGGTGTGGGTTTCCTCTGTTTCAGTGATGCTCACACATGAGACTTACATGCTAGTAGCTCGCTTTCATCTCCTAAATCTGTCTTTATAATGACCTGTGGCTGCCCTGGTTTTTATTTAAATTGCAAACAAATCATTAAGCATGTAAATTTAAATCGATTGATTTTTGCAATTAAACAACTGTGACAGTCCTAATTGAGTGTTGTTGCTCTGTATCAGAAGGTAAATTTTGAGACAACAGTTAGTTTAGACTGACAGTCATTCCAATGATGCTGAATTCAATGACTGGGAACATTCAGAGTTTTCTGTGGGTAATGAGACCAGCACTGTAAGGCTGTCCTCACATTAATTCTAAGACCAACACACTGAGGTACAGTTAATCCTCCTTAGGTCAACAGGAAGAGAAGTAGGTACATTACTGTGAGGAGGTACTGTCTTATGTTGCAGTGGTCATTAGATTTTTGAGTGAGACAGAGTTTCCTGTTCAAAGGGACGATGAGCTCTTCATAATGCTCGTTACCTAGAGACCTTGGAAGTAATTGCTCAACTTGACCTTTGTTATCTGTCCATTATTAAGGGTTATGAGCAGAAGAGCAGCGGTAATTATATACAACTTCAGACAAATTTGGTAATGGGTGAGAAAACAAAGCAGATAGCTGCCGCTGAGCTACAAGCACTCATGCACTGGTCAGTCATCACTGACCTGAAGTCAGATTTGCTGCTTGTAGATCAGCTAGTGTTTACACAAGCTGTCCAGAAACCTGAACACTCCAGCGTTTCTTCTGAAATACAGGTGTTCATAGTGAGTCTGTCCTGCAGTAACAGCCTTTGCTCTTCTGGGAAGGCTTTACACTATGTTGGAACACTGCTGTGAGGATTTGATTGAGCATTAATGAGGTCAGTTCTGGATCACTCCAACTCATCTTAATGGTATTGGATGGAGCTCCATCACTCTAGAGAACTGCACATTTCAACTATACAAAGTATTAATGTGTCATGTTTTCAACATTTTATAAGTAATAATCCTGGCTAATAATCATGGCTTATTGCTTGAGAATATCACATAAAACCCACAAGCTCAGACCAGAGCACCATGAGGTTGAAAAAGTTTGTTGAAGTTTTGGTTCCAACACAGCTATTGGTGCTAAAGGAACATCATGAAGTCCGCCCAATCAGTTCCCATATGACTTTTGTTTACATCTTTTGGTCCAATGTCAGATATATTAGTGTGAAACCTAAATAAACCAGAACTAAAGTGCACTAACGTATCATTTCTGCTTTGGGCCGAACCAAGAGAACCAAACTTCAAGTATAAACGCAGCCTTAAAGTTATTAGAGGGACTGACTAGATACTTTCAGAGACGCTGCATCTGTAGATTCATAACTCGGCAGGAAGGTGAGGAAGCCACCCAAAGCTGCCCTGGTGCTCGAGTCACAGAATGTGTTGTTAAAATGATTGGAGACTTACCTGGCCGTTTCCTTCCACTCACACATCTGTCCATCCAGGAAGGACAGCTCATCCATCTCGGTGAACAGATCGTGAGGAATGTGCTCTTCATCGTCATCCTCAGTGCCCAAGATGAACTGCACTCTCTGTGAGGGAGTATCTGGGGGGAGAAGAGGGAGCGGGACTGTAACGGTGCCTCTATTAAATTAATAAATGTTTTCATCCTATATTATATTATCAGCTTAACAACACAATCTTTTAAACTTTAATGATGTGCACTAAAGCTGCATGAACTCCACCAGTTTAGGTAAACGCCTCTGCTGAGCAGCTCTGAGTGACTGACTAACTGACTCCGTGATTGATTGAGCGACTGACTGACTCAGTGACTGACTGACTGACTCAGGGACTGACTGACCAACTGATTGACTCAGTGATTGACTGACACAGTGACTGAGCAACTGACTGCGTGACTAACACAGTGACTGACTGACTGACTCAGTGACTGACTGAGCAACTGATTTAGTGACTGACTGAGCGACTGACTGACTGACTCAGTGACTGACTGAGCAACTGATTTAGTGACTGACTGACTCAGGGACTGACAGACTAACTGATTGACTCAGGGACTGACTGACTCAGTGACAGAGCAACTGACTGCGTGACTCAGTGACTGACTAACTCGGCGACTGTGTGACTGGGCGACTAACTGTGTTACTGACTGAGCGTCTGACTAACTCAGTGACTGACTCAGGTGTGTCTGTGTTACCGTATGTAGGTGACTCTCGGCCGTCCTCTCTGTCCGACTCTCTCTCTCTGCGTTTGCGGTGGTGTCGGTGTCCACGGTGCCGGTGTCTCCTCCTGCTCTGTCGGCCCAGAGGGACGTGCACCCCCACGTACACCGCCCTGTGACCTGGAACAACACATCACACTCCTTATTTCACTGTCCACCATTTAAAATACACAACAAAGAGACACAAACACCAAATCTGACCACATGCAGCTGCTTAGTGGTTCAGTCCTGCACAAAGAAGGGATGAACTCAGACGTTACACAGCAGTGAAGAGACTTTAACAGATAAATAAAGCATCTGTTCCTCCTTCCTTATCTTTAAAAGCAAGAAACAATGTTTAGCAAATTGTTTTGCTTTCATTTCTGTAAAACCATGAAAATGAACACAGTGTTTTAATAACCGAGAGACGATACACAGAATAAACACAGCTCCCCGAAACATCAGAGCTCTGAGTGTGAATGACAGCAGTAACAGCAGCTGTGCAAGTTAGTGTTAGTGAATAAACGACAAGTCGATTACGATTCTTTGGGAAATGATTCAGTACATCATTAAATCATAAATATCACCACAATGATTTGATTTAATTTTCTCTAAAATGACTTTTTAAAAGTACTCTGAATGCACTAATGTAAACAAAGGAAATGTTTACACAATAATAAAGACAACAATACATCAAACTGATCAGCTCTCCAGCGCTGCTCCTGCCTCTCAGCTCTGTCAATCAAATTTTATCCAGAATATTTTAAGAATAACGAATCATGAATCCAGTGTTGTGAATCACATCCAATCGTAGGCCGAGTCAGTCGGTTTACTCCTCCGTAAAAATAATCAGGGCTGTGACTGATGAGTTTAAAGGTTAGTGCTCCCGTTCTTTAACCTTCTGGGGTCCATGAACTCGCCAGCATGACAAACTCACTGTTTCTGTATCTGTGTCTGTATCTTTGTGATGATCCAGCTCAGAAATCCAGTTCAAACACTTCCTGAATCTGTAGAGTCGCCCTTTCCATTCCATCTTATCTCGAGATCATACGAGACTCACATCCGGAGTTATGAGCCTATGAAGAGGGGCTGAGATACACGTCATCTGCCTCTCACCGTGTGGAACTGGTGGATTGGTGTGTCCGTCTACATTCTGTGTGAAACTGACCAATGGACACTCAGGAGATCACTAAGGACTGACCATCACGCCGGAAACCCTTCATTCTTCATTCAGTCCACATCGGAGACTCATGTGAAACGGCGTGCAGAGAGTTTACAGCTGCTGAAGCTGCTGCAGCGGTTTTGGAAAGTAGTGATGAAGATAACGGAGCATTTAGATATGAAACATATGAGGATCATGTCATATGAAGAGCCTTTAGAGGAGGATTTAAGAAGAGATGGAACAAATAAAAAGAGAATGACCACAGAGGGTTAATAAAGCCTTATTCTAGCTCTCTTTTTTGACAGTGACTCTCTTGTATGCTGGAGAACCTCTAACTGACCAGTACTGTATTAATCAGATATACTGAACTGTGTACTTTGTTAGACAAACTAAACTCTCAGTGAGGGAATGAACAGTGTAAAAAAAAAAAAAGATGTAAACAGAGTCATTCAGAGCGGTTCAGAGTGGTTCAGAGTGGTTCAGAGCGGTTTAGTGTGAAACGCTCCGTTCTAGATAAACTTACCGAGTCAGAACTGTTCACAGTGGTGGTGATAGGAACCAGACGTCCACCTCTAAAAGCTCCCTCACAGAAAGTTCCTACATGAAATGGTTATGAATTCACTGCCTGATGACTGAGACACTGTTTTATGATAGTTTAGAGAACTTAAACTCCATTCATGGTGGAGGGATACATGCAGGGCGCTGTGAGGCAAAATAGTCCCCAAAGAAAACTTATTATTTCAGATTTTCCACTATTTTCCATCATCAACATTCCATATAAACTCAGAAGACTCGTGTAGGTTCACTGGTGGTTCTGGATAGTAAATAAAATGTCTATATTTGTGTTGTAGTCATGGCGACCCCTGGTTCCCATCACCACCACTGTAAAGACATCTGAACCATTTCACACCAAACCACTCTGAATCTCACACACTGAATTATGTAGGAAATTATAAAATAGGGTGGAATTGCCCTTTATTTCTGAACAAAGGCCACGTTTAAGGTTGTAAACACCCTCCTGACCGTGTGGGAAACCACAGTCTGAACTGATAACTGCATCACAGAAACTACGTCAAAAGCCTCAGTAATTTAACACCTCTCCATTCAGCAGAGCAGGGGGAGCGTTACGGACCACCTGAGAGAGTGAGAGAGCGAGAGAGAGAGAGTGAACTCAGTTCAGTGAGGTGAGAGAGTGTGAAGATAAGGACTCGTACGTCTCTGTGGTAAACAGAGTTTTTTCCAAGCAGGGCCAGATTGTACCGTGTCAAAATACCGGACGGCTGAAATATTTACGAATTATTCAAAATATTAGGTTAAAAATATCAGCATGTAGAATCTGAGCTTCCTGTGAGCTGCTGTGTTTCCTATCACTGTATAAAAGAAGCACGAGGCTCCTGTTATTGCTGTATCACTCATTCAGAGCAGTTTGGATCTTTTAGCGCTCGTAAACAATTAAACTGTTTAAGAGTAAAAATAAAACATGACTAATGTATTAATTATATTCCTATTCAAGCATTTACTTGTCCAAGAACATAAAATGTCAGACAAACGAAAAAAAATCCATACATTTTCATATTTGTTAATGTTTCTTACATACCAGATAAACACAGCTGCATTCAGAAATCACTTAATTAAACGAGAAGAGCAGATTAAACGGCATAAACAGCCATTATTGTTCCTCCTTAAAGGGTTAATATTTCCTGCTCTGATGTGAAGTCGGTGCTGTGAGACTCGGAGCTGCAGCTGCTTTAGTTTCTCTCCTGAATATTTACTGTAATGTTCTGCTGTTTTTCATGTCTGTTGGTATTAAATTCATTACAGTCTTTTGAAATATGAGGCTCATTTTCTGCGTCTCTCGATGAAAAAGTTCAAATTTCCATCTAAATCTGTGTCTCTCAGTGTTAGTCTGAGCTTTACGGCTCAGTCTGGACTAAATGTGGTCAGTAAATGAAGCTGCAGGTCAGTCAGAGAAGAAAGGCTCTTCAACTTTAGCTACTTCGTTACCACAGTGCAGTTACACTGTAATCTTACAGCACTGCTGCCACCAGCAGGTGAAAGGAGGAACTGCAGTGCACTGGCTGGTGGGCCACTTATAACACACTCTAAAACAGAAACCATGAGCCGATTAAAATCTGCCCGTGGGCCGCGTTTGGCCCTGGGGCCGGACTCTGGACGCCCCTGCTGTAATCGGTGCGGATGACATATCAGCTGGCCAATAGTATCAGCCGATATCTGCAACTAGGGCTGCACGATTAAACATGTTTTGATCATTATCACGATACGAGTTTCCATGATAAACACATCATTAGAGCTGCGATGACAACAGATGATCTGTCCTCACACACACAGCGCCAGAGAGACGTCATCACATCACAGCACTAACGACACAGCCTAATGAGTCTCTGCGCTGGGACTGAACCGCTCTGCCACACGGGGGACGAGGAACCACAGCCGATTACAGAACACACAGCAGCTCAAACACCCCCCCACCCTCAACTACACACCTGTAAAACACACCAGACATGAGGACTGACCTCTCACACTCAACTACACACCTGTAAAACACACCAGACATGAGGACTGACCTCTCACACTCAACTACACACCTGGAAAACACACCAGACATCAGGACTGACCTCTCACACTCAACTACACACCTGGAAAACACACCAGACATGAGGACTGACCTCTCACACTCAACTACACACCTGGAAAACACACCAGACATCAGGACTGACCTCTCACACTCAACTACACACCTGGAAAACACACCAGACATCAGGACTGACCTCTCACCCTCAACTACACACCTGTAAAACACACCAGACATGAGGACTGACCTCTCACACTCAACTACACACCTGGAAAACACACCAGACATGAGGACTGACCTCTCACACTCAACTACACACCTGTAAAACACACCAGACATGAGGACTGACCTCTCACACTCAACTACACACCTGGAAAACACACCAGACATGAGGACTGACCTCTCACACTCAACTACACACCTGGAAAACACACCAGACATCAGGACTGACCTCTCACACTCAACTACACACCTGGAAAACACACCAGACATCAGGACTGACTCTCACACTCAACTACACACCTGGAAAACACACCAGACATCAGGACTGACCTCTCACCCTCAACTACACACCTGTAAACACACCAGACATGAGGACTGACCCTCTCACACTCAACTACACACCTGGAAAACACACCAGACATGAGGACTGACCTCTCACACTCAACTACACACCTGGAAAACACCAGACATCAGGACTGACCTCTCACACTCAACTACACACCTGGAAAACACACCAGACATCAGGACTGACCTCTCACACTCAACTACACACCTGGAAAACACACCAGACATCAGGACTGACCTCTCACACTCAACTACACACCTGGAAAACACACCAGACATCAGGACTGACCTCTCACACTCACACAGTGATGAACACACACATTAAATACCGACACTAAATCAATAAATAAATAAATAAATAAATAAATAAACGTATTTGTTCGTGTGCCTATATGAAAATTAAATACACACATATCTGTTTCTGTAGCCTTTATATAAAAAGGTGATACTGACCGTTTCAGCCTTTCACAAAAACGCTCTGAGCTCTGCTAACAGCTCAGATTCTACACTGAAACCAAACCATCAATCCGCCTCACTGCACTACAGTAACCCCTCTGGAGCAGAACGCTCATTTACACAGCTGTACAGATGTTCATACCATTCTGTAATATGTTCCAACACGTGATCTCAGATCTGCAGATACTGACCTACAAACTCCTTCAGTAAAACACAGGAAACGTGGAGAGACTCTTTCAGTAATTCTGCTTCTAAACTGTGGAGCTCAGTTCAGCTTTTATTAGACAGTCGAGCTCAGAGCTCACTTTTAATAAACACCTGAAAACGCAGCTCTTTAACTCGGAGCTTCATTAAACTCTACGA